TCAAGTTCAGAGTCCGAATTTGATGCATATGAACCGTGTCTCAAATTCGCCAAAAACCGGTTTCAATTGAGCGCCGGCTTCAATCTTGAAACATTGAATACAATTTTAAGTGGAACCAACAATATTTGAGCCACGTCTTAAATTTAAGCCGCGGCTCAAATTCTTTAAACTCAGCCTCTGCAGGTATTGCAGATTGCAGAATTAAAATCTAAAACTAAAAATTTTTACCTTTTAAGGTAAGATATGTTTTAAAAAAATAATATTTATTTTCAATATCTTATCTTATTTTTTTTCAGGTGTAATTATAATCACAATTTAGATTCATTTGACATTTGGTTAAGAAAGGTTTTGCTGTTAATTTCCAAATGTTTTATTGTTTTATAAATTTCAACAGATTCAGAAAGGTTCCGTAAAGCATTTAAGAAACTAAATTAGCCTGAAAAAAACTAAAAGCCCTGCTCATATCTCAACTATTTGTGACACTCTTTCGCTGCAGTAAATTTGAATTCGAACAGGACCTGCCCAGTTTGTACCGTCCTGCCAGATAACAGCGTATACTGACCCGATCCTATGGTACAGTACGTCGCCTTAACCAGACTAAAATACGACAGGGGTCAATTTTCTTGGCATAGTCCCGTGCAAAGTCTAATTATGACAACTCCCATGGCGCGTTCAGACTTTTTACAGTACCCGGCCTAATCCTAGGCTTATTTGACCGACCCAACTGGCTTAGTCCACCGTGGTTAGATCTTATGTCAGAATTCAAAATTTTATCATATGTTAAACAGAACTACAAAGCATGAAATGATAATAATAATTATTATGGATCTGCCTAACCCGAGAAAGTTGTTTTAATTTGGCTTGTAATAAGTTAATTATGATAAAAACAATAATTGGATGATCTTGAGGTTAAAATATTAATGTAGATAAACATGTATCAATTTTCTTTATAGGAATAATTTAATCGGAAATGCAAAATAATCTGAAGCAATGTTAAGGGCAGAGGTTTATTAAAATGAAATGTTTTAGAAAACAATGAACCTATATGTGTTGGGAATTTTTTTGTAAACAATGGGAAAGCTGTAAATAAATAATTGTCATAAATTTAACTACAGCCTAAACTGAAATGTTTCACATTTACGCTTACAAAAAAAAACTAGAAACAAAGGATTTGAGTTTTTTTTAAAAAAACTCTGATTTTCTTATCCCTTTATCTTTGCATCTCAATGTCGTAGACATTAAATATTTCAAACTACGGCTTTTGTTAGATTAAAAAATTTAAGTTTGAAATATTTAAGGTTCACACCATCAGGTTGCAAAGATAAATGTACTAGAAAATTTGAGTTTGTGGCAAAGACTCAATTCCATTGCGGGATAGTAAAAAAGAATAAAAATCTAGAAAGTAAAATGTCCAGAAAACCATTTTCCTAGTAGAATGACCCGGCCCTCCCTGTCCATAAAATGACCTCCTGTATACACTATGTTGGTGTTATGATCTCCATTATATATAAAAATAAAATATTATCCTTTCATAGTCAATATTTTCCCCTNCTTAATTGTAGATTTTTTTACACATGCTTAATTGTAGATTTTTTTACACATGCTTAATTGTAGATTTTTTTACACATGCTTAATTCTAGATTTTTTTACATATGTTTGATTGTAGATTTTTTTACACATGTTTAATTGTAAATTTTTTTTACACATACTTAATTGTAGATTGTAGATTTTTTTACACATGCTTAATTGTAGATTTTGTAGATGTTTTAGGAAATTTGTTTTGCAGAATTAAAAATAAAATGTGATAGTCAAGAGATTAGATAAAAACAATCTCTAAGTGAAAGTATGCTGATGATAGAAGTTTAGGGAAACCTTGGTGCTAAGGATATGTCTGAGACCAAAGCTAGGAATAATAGTTTTATAAACTGTATTTGTCTGACAAACATGAAAAATGAAAATATAGTTTTTTATTTGTTCACATAACATTTTTTTTGCCACATTACCGGTATGTCTTTTTGACCTTGTAGTTCCACAGAATTTTATTTTACGCACAAGTATAGGAAAAATAGTTATATGAGAATTAACTAAACATAGTTATGATTGAACAAATATAAAATTTTTATCTGACGTGAAATATTCAGTTTGACGTAGTAAATGCTTTTTAAATCCCTAGATATAAGTATTTAGAAAAAGTTATGAAGAGTATTTACACACACCATTAACTCCTTTTTAAATTCTTTTGTCTTTGCAACCTTATGGTGTTATTTAAAAATTTGGACCGGGTTAAGTTTGTTAAAAAAAGCTTTTTTAAATTTTTAATTTTTAATTCAGATTATAGTAAAGATATTTATAAAAAATCAGAGGTTTTTAAGAAAAATAAATATATTTATGTTTTAATTTTTTCCTCTGATATCAGGGACAAGAAATTGAAAAGTCCAGTTTTATTTTTACAAAAACTAGCCAAGTAATTAGATTGAGAAATACCAGGGGAGATAAACTTTTTATATTTATTCTCCTTGTTCAGTTGTAAAATTAATTAAAACTTTTTAGCAATTTTAATTTTGAAAATAATTCTACAGTGTCTTTAATATCTTCTAAAAGAATGTGTAAAATTTTTCTAAATTATAGGATTTGTTTGGTTTTCTCAGTTTTGCTGAAAACTTGTTAAAACTTTATTTTGTTACACAATCTTTGTTTACAAAAAAGGTATGATTGCAAATTTTGAGATTGTTATGTTTCTTCAAAAATCTTTGGCTAGCTATAAATTAAAATTGAAGACCAATTATTTTTTTTTCTCAACAGCTTAAAATATATTTACATCGTCCAGGTTGAAATAAAAATCTGACATCCTGGAATGTTCATATTCTATAATGGTAACAGAGCCGTTCCAATACCTGATTCTAAAATAATGAATAGTCCTATTACATGGCTCTAACAGTCCAGCTTCATTTAGACCATGTTTTGGCTGTCTCTTATTCAAAATTGATTTCTTATCACCAACCAACTGCACTGTGAGGATTGCGAATATGATTAATAACATGGTGAGGAAAAAATATAAAAGAAGTTACACTATCAATAATTCAACATGATTGAGAGTATTGTATTTGTAATCTGTATATATTCAATATGTTCTTAGTTTATTAGATTACTATACACCAAGTGAAAATCATTAACATATAAATCTTTCATGATGCAGTGTGATAATGATGTTAGTTGCAATGGAAATTATATGCATTTTAAGGCACTTCCTTACTTGTTATGCAACATATTTAAATTACATTATATCTTTTATTATGTTGTTTAGCTTTGATATATTTATAAAAGACGACATTACTGTTTGTCTGTCCAACCATACAAAGCAGGTAGGTTTCAATTTGAACTCCACACCTATCCCAGGTGTGGGGATGTTTTTCCAAGATGAATTCATCAATATAAAAGGTAATAGTTTGTAAACCTTAAATAACCTTTAGATTGTATGCATAAGTGTATGCATATTTATCAAGTTACATATCTTAACTATTTTGTATATTTCAGTTATGTGACTTAGACGAGTGTATCGTGTATGAGAAAGATTGAAAATAAACATCTAAAGTTAAACTTGATCATTATATTCAAAAGTCTACCCATTGACAAAACTTGTTGTCTGGGTTTTATTGAAAGGAAACCTGAAACTGATTCCTCTCAATACATATGTGTTAGATCAATTTTGCAATTCTACTAGTGTTTTGTCTGAGGAAAAGTTAGTTAAACTTTAGCTAGTTAGACGTAAAAGACTTCTAAAGAATTTTCCAAAATATTGTAAAGCGAATTTCTTAGATTGGCCAATTTGTTTATGTGTTCCGGATACCTTATTTAAGTCTTGTTGTGAATACTACAGATAAGTATTAAACTACTGATATTAATGCTTGTTGCCTGAAATGTGGTTAGATTATTCAGGCAGGTTTCCCACATAAATATAGTTATATTCTTTATTTATCCATGAACTTATAATATTCAATATACAGGGTGTCCCAATAAACATGATACTTAAGAGACTTTGATTGGGGTTTCCATTCCAACGCAATTGGATTTTACTTGCGCGCCATTGCGAGTCCTGTAAATTCCGCGCACTTCTGCACATTTCGTGCGATTCGAGAAAAGTTGTGCGCAAGTCCGCGTAGCTGAATTCCGATTGGAGACCCTATTTCATATATAATGTATGGTTCAATCGTATGCTTACTGGGATACAGGCAGAAACTACTTTACTTAAAGGACAAGGTTATTGTGATTTTAAAATATATTTTTAATTTTGAATTATTCTTTACTTTTTATCCTCTCCGAATTAAACTTTTTCTAATTAACTTCCTGAAACTTGATCATAAAACCATATTTGATGAATTGCAGTGAAAGAATGTCAAAAAAAAACAATGAAAAAACAAATGAAACATTATTTGGCTAACTGAATTATAGGTTTTTATAATGTTTTCGTATAAGTAACTTGTGTTTGTAACTCGAAGGCTCACAACCTCTATTTTCTTTTTCCGTATTTCCCAATCAACGTCCCTTAAGAATTTGAAGTAAAAGAATTTTTTTAACATCTTCTAATCAAAGTTTGGTATGAGAAATAAACTTTAATTAACTTCTTAATCCCATGTTTTACCTTCGCCTCGGAATATCTTGAAATGTTTAGAATTTTGCCATCAACATTTTTGAGAAATCTTGGGAACCATAGTTGCGTTCAACTGAACTTTTTAAAAATATAGTGTGAACCCAACCCAAGGATTCACAACTTGTACTTTACAGATTATTGTTCCCAAACGAGAATAAAGCCTAACAATCTAACCCCAAGCCAAGTGCCCAAGTTTATTGAACTCATAGTATGTTTGCGGCCTGATTACGCAACAGGCTAGACCCTATTCGCCACAGGTGAATGTGGTGTTATTTAGATGAATTTTAGTTGATCCAACACTTACCGTTTGGTTTTTTACTTTTTCAAGTTTATAATAGGGAAAAAAATAAGAAATGATTATTAAATTATATTTTTGCAATTAATAATCAAAGATTTTTTGCTGATTCCGCTTTCCAGAGTACATACTTGATGTCGTCTTCCATCAGCTCTGTTGTAAAGATCAAGTTTTATTTTAAATATTTTTAACAAAAAAAAGTTTTTTTTGTGTCTTTAAATGATTTTTTGCAGGTGCAATTAAATAATTAAGAGGGGGGGGGGTTACATTCCTACATTCCCTTTAAAACTAATTAGTTAAATAGTGCCTGTTAGAGTAGAAATCCCATAAAAAATGAAATAAAGTTAAAATCCGTGGAGAATTAAACATTTTCAAAGAACTGGAACTTTTTACTTTGACAAAACACACTGAACATTTCAAGTTTGATTTTACAAACTTAAGAAAGGAAATGAGTTTTTGTCACAAACTCAAAATGTCTAATCCCTATATCTTTACAATCTGATTATGTAAACCTTTGATATTTCAAACTTAAATTATTTGGTCTAACAGAATTCATAGTTTGAAATATCAAAGGACTTCGACATTGGGTAGAAAAGATATAGAGATTAGAAAAGTAGAGTTTGTGACAACAACTCAGTTCCTTTAGGTCTGAATATGCTTCAATGGAGAAATAAAACAAAATAGGCTTAAATATCTTGAATTTCAAAATGGTTGCCTTAAAACGTGGATTTTTCCTTGTTGAGTGAGAGTTTTGGTTTGGTTGAGTTTGAGCGTGTAAGGAGTATAACCAGACACTCTGAAACCTAAAATATTGGAACAGTTCTAAATTAAAAATCTTATTTCAATAATTTGTTTCTATTTTCCAAAAATCAAGCAAGATTATTTCATCTTATTTTTTTAAGAAAAGAACATTTTGTAAGTCAATGTTTATTAAAATTTTATTTCTTGTGTTAACGGTATTTTGCTTTTAAGTAGTGATGTGCACATTTTACTTTTTTGTCTGGTTTGTTGATTACCCATTTCTATTGTTTTTTAATTTTAATTGATCAGTGGCCGAAATTAAAGAGTTTGAGCGGCGGTTTAAATTTAAGCCGCGGCTTAAATATGGTTGGTTCCACTTAAAATGTATCAAATGTTTCAAGATTTAAGTCGGCGCTTAATTTAAACCGGGTTTTGGCAGATTTAAACCGCGGCTCAATTTCTTAAAATTCCATCTCAGTACAGTTAACAATTTGGTTGTTCATTATGTTGTTGTTATTTTCCGATTTGTTCCTTAGGGACTGTAAGTGTAATTTTATATAACCCTCTATGCAAAGATGGTAAGGCACAATTCACAACGGTGCCCTCGAAACCTTCATATGATCAATGATGAGGAAGATATTGTAGTTTTTCTAGGTTTAAAAGTGCTTCATTCTGTGTGTTATATCCAGTGCGAATCACTTTTGTAGAGAAACTACAATTGAAAATAGTCAGCTTTCAAAGTTATAAACATTGACATCTTATTCATACTTAAGCAGACAAAGGTTTTATAAAGGTGTATAAAGGGTCACTTGAAATTACCCTTAAAATCCCTTTAATGAAAACTATGCCCATCAATATTCTCAAGGGTTTTTACCTTCTAACATTTGTGGGAATTCATCACAATCATCGCTCATTCCAGTCTTAAATAATTTAATCATCTTTTTGAAATATCTATAGTTATAATCTGTTTGTCTTTTTGAATGTGCGATCACAACTCAGGAACTCCTTGACTCAAATTTAGATTGGGGAATTCTGTAGAACCTCGGGATTGTAGATTTTAAAAATTTTAAACTTTCTATATTGTTCCAAAACTACTTTTATAATATGTACTTCCAATTCAAATCATGGTAATTTATATTTCTTGCATCATAAAAAATTTAAAAGCATTTATAGAAAAATAGAAAAATTAAAAAGCATTTATAGAAAAATATCAATTTGCAGTATTCTCCATTTTTATGGAAGGAGGAAAATTTTAAATTGAGCTAAGTTTAATTGATTTCTACTTGAGTCTTTTTACCTTGCTTGTGTAAACTGAGTCCCAGCGTATAAAAATATAAAGGAATATTGTAGGTTTTGGTTTCTTCCACAAATAACTTGTTATCACCTTAAAGGGACTGTCATCGTAATTTTAAGTGACCCTCGCCCTTAAGAGGACCATGACCGATTCACAAAAGTACCCTTGAAACCTTAATCAGATCAATAATGTTGTAAATTGTTTTTATAAATGTAAAAGTATTTAATTCTGATAAATTATAAATTGTTTCTGAAGCAGAAAATGAACAAGTCACTTTTAAACAGAAAACACAAATGCAAATACTTAGCTTTAAAAAACAAAAACTTGGATATCTAATTCATACATGATCAGACAAAGCTTTCAAGGGTACTGTTGTAAATCAGACATGTCATTTTATAAGTTTATAGGGTCACCTAAAATTATGTTTAATTTTAATTTGAATATTAGATTATATGTTAAATACAGTGATAACCGCTGTAAAGTGAAATTATCGTCGTCTCTGTTCAATCTTGAAATGGTAATTTGTAAATAATAAAAATCTACAAATTAATGTTCAAAAATGTTTCAGAAGTTTTAAAATCCTTTTCAATGTTCCTAATTAAAAGACTATAAGGAGACGACAATCGTTTTACTCAAGGCACATATATTCAGACTACCATTAAAAGTTGCATCAATTTTCAAGACTCGGAAGTGTCGCATTTTACTTTTTTGCATATTTTAGAACTAAAAAGCAATTATTTTTAGCTTCAGTAATCTATATATAAATTTGGCTTGTCTGTCTGTTTGGGTGTTTGTTTGTTTGTATCCAATAAACGTCAAAACGGCTGAACCGATCGGGCCCAAATTTTTTGTGGGACATCTAGGGACCACCCCAGGGAAGGTTTATGAATGATCAAAATTTCAAATATTTGTCTCCATCAAAATTCGATCTTCATTAAATTTTTGAAAATTTTGAAAATCCACGAAATTTTTTGTGAAAATCCGCGAATTATTTTTGTTTTGTTTTACGATGTACACAAAGAGAACATGTTCACAATTAATTTAGAAGATGGGCGCGAAGCGCCCTCTAAGGCTAGTTGGTAATATTCTTTTAAATTGTTGCGTGAGAGCATGTAACCTGTTAGAGGAAAACCTACCTTACAGTTCAGACCTGTAGCAAATGACAAATATTTTCCCATTTAAGAAGATCAACACAAATGTAAACTTATTTTCGGAAATCACTGAAATACCTTTTTGATCGAAAAAATATTTATTTCCTTGTGTATTGATGTTTAGAATCAACGGTTGGTTTCCAATGTTCAGATATTTGACAAGATACTCTAGAGACACCTGGTGGACATCCTGAACAACACATTAGGTAATAAACCACTGGTAGACCGTAGAGACACCTGGTGGACATCTTGAACAACACATTAGGTAATAAACCACTGGTAGACCGTAGAGACACCTGGTGGAGATTCTGAACAATTGATTAGGTAATGAACCACTGGTTGACCCTAAAGACACTTGGTGGACATCCTGAACAATATGATTAGGTAATGAACCACTGGTTGACCCTAAAGACACTTGGTGGACATCCTGAACAATTGATTAGGTAATGAACCACTGGTTGACCCTAAAGACACTTGGTGGACATCCTGAACAATATAAGTAGGTACTAAACCACTGGTAGACCATACACCTTGTGGACATCCTGAACAATATAATTAGGTATTAAACCACCGATAGACCCTAGAGACACCTGGTGGACATCCTGAACAACACATTAGGTAATAAACTACTGGTAGACCGTAGAGACACCTGGTGGACATCCTGAACAATTGATTAGGCAATGAACCACTGGTTGACCCTAAAGACACTTGGTGGACATCCTGAACAATATAAGTAGGTACTAAACCACTGGTAGACCCTAGATACACCTTGCGGACATCCTGAACAATATAATTAGGTATTAAACCACCGATAGACCCTAGAGACACCTGGTGGACATCCTGAACAATATAATTAGGTACTAAACCACTGGTAGACCGTAGAGACACCTGTAAGACATACTGAACAACATAATTAGGTAATTAACCCCTTGTAAACCCTGGCGACACCTGGTGGACATACTGTACAATATAATAAGGTATTAAACCATTAATTATGTATTTAGAAAAAATCTAAACAAATTTAAACAGCCTCAGATTGATAATTTTAGATTAAAAATAATATCAGAAAAAAAGGACAAAATCACTATATCAACAATTGCAATAAAATTATGAAGATTAATTTACCTTATTCTCAAGTGAGCCAAAAACTTCACCATCACTAAAAACAAATAAAAAAAGAATTAGTTTATCTAAGCATTAACAGGTATTAAAATGTATTCTTAAAAAGTTTGCTTTACATTACAAAATAAACAAAAACAAGTAAACCTTCATCACTTTTTAAAACAACTTTTTTATTCATAGATTTATCTTTTTTTTAAATATTTTTTTAAAAATGGGACAATTTTTTTCTTAAAAGTTTGTAAACGCACACTAATATAAAAAAAATCAGATAACATCATCGTTATTGTATTTCCTTGATCATACTATACACATTTGCCAATATTTTTATCATTTGCCTGGATCATTATTTATCTTTTATTTAAATTATTTATTTATTATTTATATTTATTTATAATTTTTTATATTGATATATTTGGCTTGTCTGTTTGTTTGTNTTTATCAGAGCATTCACTACCTTTATCAGAGTATACACTCCCTTTATCAGAGTATACACTACCTTTATCAGAGTATACACTCTTTTTATCAGAGCATACACTCCCTTTATCAGAGTATATACTCCCTTTATCAGAGCATACACTACCTTTATCAGAGTATACACTCTTTTTATCAGAGTATACATTCCCTTTATCAGAGCATACACTCCCTTTATCAGAGCATACACTACCTTTATCAGAGTATACACTACCTTTATCAGAGCATACACTACCTTTATCAGAGTATACACTCTTTTTATCAGAGCATACACTCCCTTTATCAGAGTATACACTCCCTTTATCAGAGCATACACTCCCTTTATCAGAGCATACACTACCTTTATCAGAGTATACACTACCTTTATCAGAGTATACACTCTTTTTATCAGGGCATACACTCCCTTTATCAGAGCATACACTCCCTTTATCAGAGCATTCACTCCCTTTATCAGAGTATACACTCCCTTTATCAGAGTATACACTACCTTTATCAGAGTATACACTCTTTTTATCAGAGCATACACTCCCTTTATCAGAGCATACACTCACTTTATCAGAGTACACACTCCCTTTATCAGAGTATACATCTTTTTATCAGAGCATACACTCCCTTTATCAGAGTATATACTCCCTTTATCAGAGCATACACTACCTTTATCAGAGTATACACTCTTTTTATCAGGGCATACACTCATTTTATCAGAGTATGCACTCCCTTTATCAGAGTATACACTCCCTTTATCAGAGCATACACTCCCTTTATCAGAGCATACACTCACTTTATCAGAGTATACACTCCTTTTATCAGAGTATACATTCCCTTTATCAGAGCATACACTCCCTTTATCAGAGTATACACTCCTTTTATCAGAGCATACACTACCTTTATCAGAGCATACACTCCCTTTATCAGAGTATACACTCCCTTTAACAGAGCATACACTCACTTTATCAGAGTACACACTCCCTTTATCAGAGTATACATTGCCTTTATCAGAGCATACACTCCCTTTATCAGAGCATACACTACCTGTATCAGAGCATACACTCCCTTTATCAGAGCATACACTCCATTTATGATCTTTTACTTTAACGCACCATTTCTATTATTTGCGCAAACAGTCCCTTTTTGTTGACAATGCACACCAATATCTATCCCTTGAGTTTTGATTAAAAATGTCAAGAGCACACAATACATTATCATTTTCACCATACAGTCAGTTACATTCAAACATAGATATTACATCATCATGCTTGGAGTTGCACTATCGGAGATCCCCGCAGCAATCTCATCGGAAACCCATAGATTTTCCTTGGATACCACAAGCTTTTCATCGGAGACCCAAGCTTTTCATAAGAGAATTCAAAATTTTCTTTGGAGACCCCCAGAACTTCATTAAAGACCCAAAACTGTTCATCAGAGACCCCTAGATTTTCATTGCAGCCTCAAGGTTTGTCATTGCCCATTGGAGACACCATACTCTCTGATCAAATTTCGGAGTCTCCAATGAAAATCGTGTGATCTCTGGCGTATGTCACGTGTGGGGTTTCTGAAAGGTGTCTCTAAAGAAAATCTAGGGGTCTCCAATGAGACGGCCTTGGGGGTCTCTAATGAAAAGAAAAAAAATTTCTGTTTTTATACTTGAAGTTCTACCTTATGTCCTGCAGCTGCAGCAAGTATACTTGCTTCTCCTGCACCTATATCTAAACAGTGTAGAATACAGGGTTTTCCAAGTTACATGGGAATTGAGTGAATTGCCGAAGTTCATTCGAGACCGTGGTCGGCCATTTTCTCATTCGACACGTGGTCGGCCATTTTCTCATTTGAGAAGTGGTCGGCCATTTTCGCATTTGAGACGTGGTCGGCCATTTTCTCATTTGAGACGTGGTCGGCCATTTTCTCATTTGAGACGTGGTCGGCCATTTTCTCATTTGAGACGTGGTCGGCCATTTTCTCATTTGAGACGTGGTCGGCCATTTTCTCATTTGAGACGTGGTCGGCCATTTTCTCATTTGAGACGTGGTCGGCCATTTTCTCATTTGAGACGTGGTCGGCCATTTTCTCATTTGAGACGTGGTCGGCCATTTCCTCATTCGAGACGTGGTCGGCCATTTTCGCATTATAAAAGTTGACGGAAACTTCAATCAAATTTAAATTGTCTGAAAGTCCAATATTTCTGTAACAGTTAAGGTTGTTGAAGATTTATAAATCGTTTAAGCTTTTTGTATAAAACTAGCAATCTAAAAATAGCAGAATGAAAGTATAAAGTGAAAGTGAAATTGGAATGGATGAAAGGGTTAATCCCTTCTACTCTTACATTTTTAGAATAGAACACTTTAAACGAAAGAGACTTATCAATCTGGCAATTAATCTATTACTTGTATAAAAATATGTGTAGAGTTCCTCGTAAAAAACGATGCGCTGCTAGATAGAAGACGACTTTTTATACATTCCCTATCATGGATGTTATTCTGATTCTACCGGGAAAACATTTAACAATAGAGAGACTTATCAATCTAATTACACTACCACCAATCTATCAATATGCCAATCAAGCGAGAATATTTTCTCTTATCTAAAGGGACTATCTACAAAAGGAATTGAGTCTTTGCCACAAACTCTGATTTTCCAATCCCTATATTTTTGCAACCCATATGTCTTCAAACTAGTACTGTTAGATCAAATAATCTAAGGTTTACTCCATGAGGTTCCAAAGATATAGAGATTTAAAAATGTTAGTTTTTGACGAAAACTGAATTCCTTTCAAGTAAACCTCAACCTGAACAAGCGTGACATGTCTGATTTACAATTGCACCCTGTGGCTCTTAAATGGATCAAAAATGGGGAAGATATCTACATTTTCCTGTCTGAAAATACCTTCCTCTTGTTCATACTGTATTAACCTGTAGTCAATTTTCTAAAGAATCACAACTGAACATTTTGAGATGTAAAAACAGGGATAACTCCATCATTTTTGATTGGAAAAATGTTCTCAGGGCACCACTGTGAATCGAATATGTAATTCTTTGAGTCCTTAAATGAACAGTCATTTGAAATCATGTTTATTTTATCGTAGGTTTAAAGAATTATCTGAACAAAAGACTTCCACAATCTACTAACATTTCCACCCATAGATCAATATATGCCAATCAAGGAAGAATATATTTTCTTTTCTTATTTTTCAGTCAACAAACTTACAGTTTGAACCAGAAAACTCTGGAATAGGAAGTTAACTTTTAGACTCAAGTTATGACTCAAGTTATAATGAATTTTGAACATAAGACACAGCAATTGTGTAGTGGAAATAAACCCATTTCACTTAATAAATGCACGGTAATTTCCTGGTATAAAAATTTTGGACCCCGATATGCCTCAAATTATGATTGGGGAACTCGGGAGAACCACGTTAATGTTTTTAGTTTGGTTTTAAGATTCTGAGTTAAGTGGGTCTACTCTATACTTTTAAAGGAAAAATTTTCTAAATTCGTAATTTACGATCAAGCGCAGGTAAATATTGGGAGTAACAGTGTAACGCTGGGTTCTCAAGCTAGTTACCTATAAGAACAGAATCTGGGTATTCCTCCAAGGTGTTTCCGATCCAGCCGGAAATACTATCATTCTCTTCCTGACCATCCTATTCAGACAATTATGAATAGTTATATACAGGGTGTCCCACGAAACATGAAAGTTTGTCAATAGTTTGGAATGTCTTTTTTCTTAGACTTTTTGCAGTTTATATTGTAAAAAAGTCTTGAAATCAATTAAAAAGTCATGGAAGAAGACATTTAAAAATATTTACCAACTGTCATGTTTCGTGGGACATTCTGTTTCACAAAACTAAAGTTTCTATAATTCTATATTGGACATACAGGGCTATTCGCAATGGATAATACTTTAATGACGACCTTAAAATCTTTTAATATGTATAATTTGGGAATACTGCCTTGAAAATAATCTTTAAATGGTTTATTTTACAATTTGCTTAAATTTTGAGACATGCGAAGCTGTGTGAAGCCATGGACATGTAAGGAATAAGATTCAAGATGGAAAAATATCCGTACATTTATCTTTTAAGTTTCATATTTTGTGGGGTAGCCATATAATTTATTATTCTATAGAATTAAAGAAAAAACTAAATATGATTTCTGAAATAAAAAATTGCAATCCATATGAACATTGCTAATCAATTGTAACCATATGAATATTGCTAATCAATTGAAATCCATATGAACATTGCTAATCAATTGTAAACCATATGAATATTGCTAATCAATTGCAATCCATATGAATATTGCTAATCAATTGCAATCCATGTGAATATTGCTAATCAATTGCAATCCATATGAATATTGCTAATCAATTGCAATCATGAAGAACTTTTCGTGATTTGTAAAGGGACTTTCTTCACATAAATCCAGACCATGCTATCAAAACTGCATCAACTTTCAAGACGGCACTAGAGCACTTGTTTCTGTCTTTAGTGTAAAAGGAGTAATTGGCAAAATCTTGATAGATTTTTGCGTAAATGCTTTCAACTTTTAGATCACATCACAGTGTCGTTTTAATTTCAATTCAGTTAACTAAAAAAGAGGAACATGTCTGTTTCACAATAAAGTACCCATTAAACCTTTTTATCAATTAAACTAAAACTATGGTTTATTATTCTGACGATTCCCTCCAATGGTTCCATGTGTTCCATGTGAAAATCACAATTTTATAGAGAACCCAAACTTAAAAGTAACTAATTTTCAAAAAAAAAACTATCTTATTGTTTCTTGATCACAAAAAGCTTGAAATCTTGAAATTACAATTTCCTCCCTTTTAAGTAGAAATTTAAACTTTTCTCTTTAATCAGAAACTTTTTCCTTTGAGTTTTACATATTTTAACTTTTCATTCTTAATCATTCAGTTCCTGATATATTTATTTTAACAATCAAACTTTTGTAGGATCTAGTGAAATAGTAGAAGGTTTTAATAATTTTCTCAACGTGGGACCTAGGCTGTCTAGTTACAGTCCGGAATCTAATGTCACTTTTGAAACGTATTTAAATAAGTGCATAATTGAAAATTTTGTTTTTTGCAAATATTACACCGGAAATTATTTTAGAAACAGTTAGTATAAGCTAAAACCCAAAAAACAGCTCAGTAGAAGACAATATTTCTACCAAACTACTGAAGGAGATTATTGATTGTATTGATTATCCTTTAGTACATTTATTTAATCTTTCTTTTATAACAGGATAGCGAGTATAAATGTTCAAAAATTATTCCCATCTTTAAAGCGGACGAAAAAGACAAGTTTAATAATTACAAACCTATAAGTATTCTTCCATTTTTGAGTAAGCTACTTAAAAAAATTGCTGCAATACAAATGTTCAGATATCTTAATAAGTTTAACATCTTTTACGAGCACCAATATGGATTTAGACCTAAACATAACACAAATCAACCACTTTTGCATTTAATGAATAAAATCTATGAAAACCTTAATAAATCTAAACCAGAATTTACACTTGGAATATTCCTAGACTTAAAGAAAGCTTTTGATTGTTGTGATTATCCATACCTTTAAAAAAACTAATGCGTTATGGTTTCAAAAATGTGGCAAACACCTGGTTTAAAAATTATCTTGTTAACAGAACTCAATATGTGTGCATAAACGGAGTTTCTGAATAGAATAGAACAAAATCATATAAATTAGAACGGGTTTTAAACAAAAATTTAGAAAGCTTTCTCACCCCCAACTAAAACAGCACTATATTTTGCTTAGGCATGAGTAAGCGAGACAAAGTCTTGCCTGTACGATTATAATGCCATTTTCCTTAGCTTGCCCTAGCGACCAACCAGGGCAAGAAGCTGGGTTGGGTAGAAAGCTTTCCGTCTGCAATGTTTCTTAAATTGTGGAATGCAATGCAATGCAAGAGTAAACAATGTTTATTTTGAGAATTAAATTATGAGAGGGTTAAATGCGAAAAACCTAATTGTATATCATGTGAGTAGGTTTCATATTAAAAAAAAACTAAAAAACTGAAACTTTATTAGCTTATTTGTGTTTGTGTATCCACCATCCTTAACTCCCTGTATTTTTATTTATCTCTTCATTAATGCCTCTGATCTCAACCTGCCACAGATCACCTGTCAATCTCCTACCTTCCAATCAACTCCTTACCTATCCTCAAAAAAAACATAATTTGATATGTGTAACCAATTTTATTCATTATCGTTAACTAACTTAGAGCCAACCACCCAAAACAACCTACCCTGGTTAGGCGGGTCCAGACTGCATAGTAAATTGTGATCGCTTATTTGTAACATCTCATGCTCTGTAGTTGAATAAAAGTATGAAATGAAATATGAATGAAAACACTGAAAAGTATACAATATATATGCATATGTACTACCAGAGATTAACTTGTCTAGGGTACTGGGGTCNGGGTACCTGTGTATTGCATGATGTAAATGTTTGTTTGTTTATATGCTTTCTTTTACAAAAATGAGGAACAGATATTGGCATATTCTCTGAAAAAATGAAAGTTCTCTAAATACTATTTTTGAAAAACTAGGCCAACTGTATATCTTTTGAAATTCTCAGATTTTCTATTGTCAATGAAGCATCTAATACTTTGCTTGTCTGTCTGTTTGTTTCCAATAAACGTCAAAACGGCTGAACTGATTGGGCAAAATTTTGTGTGGGACCTCACGTGACCCCAGGGAAGGTTTAATTAAGGATGATCAAAATTTCAGAAATTTGCCTCCAACAAAATTCTATTTTCATTAAATTTTGAAAATCCACGATTTTTAAAAATAAAATCCTCGAAAGTTTTTTGTTTGTTTTTATTTTACAATGTATACAAAGAGAACATGTTGACAATGGAAATAAAAGATGGGCGCGAAGCGCCCTAAAAGCCTAGTCTCTAAAATTTTGAATTAAACAAATTTACGAGGAAAACTCAATTTTATTAAAAACAATATGTAAAATTTATGGTATTGGTAAAAAGGAAATGGTTGAATTAGTTCAAATAAAATGCTACAGTTTAACCCAGAACTTGAAAGACATTGAAAGATTTTATCAAATGTCGTATTCTTAACCTTAAGAGCAAAAAAATTTTATGTGGTATTGGGGAGCAACTTTTTCCTGGTTCTCGTTCATAAGGATGATTGGAAACAAGTTTCAGCCAAGTCATATAACTCCGTCTTGGTGAGATATTGAACAAGGTAATACATGCAGAAAGGTCTGGGAAAAGAAATCAATGTAATAACTTTAACAGAAAAAAGTTACTAAGTATATAAAAGTGTTTCCAGCAATACAAAGTGTATCTTAAAAAACCTCAAGATCTCACCAGGACGGAGTGATATGATTTGACAGAAACTTGTTCCCAATCACTACTCATACCATGAGAACCAGGAACAAGTTGAATTTACTCCACAATGCCAAGTTAAAGTTTTTGCTCTTAAGGAACACTGTGGATAATGGAACAATTCAGTCTTTAATTAAAATCATATGGAGCTTCTAAAGCCGTTCCTCTTCTAACCTTTCTCCGGTTCCCGCATATTGCATACCTACTTATATATTTGTATAATTACTGAGATTAAGGTATAATAGTATAAACCCCATTGAACAATTGTGAAGACGACATTTTATTAGTTCTTTTGATGGCTTCGAAATTCTGGCCTCCGGGTTATACTGTATTTTAAATAATTAAAAGAAATTACCTGTAATAACTATAATTTTTCCTACAGGAGCTAGAAGTAAGGTTGAAAATGTAATGAAACCTACAGCGATTCAAGGAAATTTAAATATTTTAAAGATTAAATTTTTTTATACAATGACTTTTTTCTCTGCAAAAATAAGATACAACGAGAACCATAAATCTGTGGAATAGGAAGACGACATTCATGAAATAATTTTTGTACTTTATCTTGTTGTAAATTAAATAGTTTTGTACACTGCAAAATTGATCTTATTGTTTTATGTTTAATTAACCACTGAAAATCATGACTTGAATCTAAATATATGTGGTCTTCCTATTCTACAGTTGTGTGGATCTCCCAGTAATTTTTTTTGTAGAAACACAACAAAAATATTTGATATTTTATTTTCATCAAATAAAAAAAAATGATTTTTGCATAAACCATTCAAAATTTCCTTCCTATAGTCAAACATATTGCAATTAGAACATTTTTACTAAGATTGATAACAAGTGATCTGCAGTACAGTTTAATCATTGCAGTACACTGTAAAGAATCAATATTTTGATGGATTTTTGTAAATCAGCTGACAGTAATTCACAAGAACTGAGATCCTTACTGTGTTCAGAGGAGGGGGGGGGGAAGGGGAATGACTTGCAGAATTTTCCCTTTACCTGTTAAATTCAAGAAATAAGAATAAAGGGAAGGGAAATGGCGCTGGTCTGGCATGAGAAAACCAGTCGTACTGCTTTGCAGACGAGTTCGTTATTACACACGCACAATCTTTTGGTACAGACACACACCATGACAACAGTCAAGGAAATTGCAGAACAATGTCGTCAAATATAATTAAGCTTGAATAACGATTAGTTTATTGTATGTAAACATTAATCAAATTATATTCTTTGCATGAAAATTTGGCTTATAGTGTTGACTTAAATATATAAATAATATATTACACGTGTAATAAACTTATTTTTCAGTAAACAATTAACAATAAACAAATGTACTCTCATAGACTGTACAAATGCCGAGATTATTATGTACTGTAAGTAGGGATGTTAACGTTTTCATTTTTTCAGAAAAACGATCGTTTCGTTATGATAACGACGACGAAAACTCGAAAACGAAACGATCATTTTTGAAAACGATCGTTTTTTTTAAAAAGTTCGTTTTTTTAAAAATGGTCGTTTTTAAAACGATCGTTTTTTCAAAACGCTCGTTTTTAAAAACGATCGTTTTATAAAATTCGTCGTTTTGTTAACGATCGTTAACGACGGACCTTCGTTAACGATCGTTAACGACGGACCTTCGTTAACGATCGTTAACGACGACCCTTCGTTAACGATCGTTAACGAAGAGAGGAAACCGACCTGAAGGGCATCTGTACTTATCATTGAGTAGTTTTTAAGAAAATATCAAGGAGTTTTAACTCCCCCACAACTGTTAAACTTCATGTAAGACGAAATTCAATAAAGTTGCATGTATTTTTTTTCCAAAAACAACCGTTTTGATAAAGTTCGTCGTTTCGTTAACGATCGTTAACGACAACCCTTCGTTAACGATCTTTAACGACGACCTTTCGTTGACGATCGTTAACGACGAACCTTCGTTAACGATCGTTAACGACGACCCTTCGTTAACGATCGTTAACATAATTGTCAATAAAAAAAATTCAAAAACGATCGTTTTTTCAAAAACGATCGTTTTTGTAAAACAATCGTATAAAAAACGATAAGAAATCGTTTTAATAAAAACGATCGTTTTCAAAAACGATCGCTATTCGTTTTCTAAAAGTTCAAAACGAGTGGGTCGTTTTTAAAAACGATCGTTTTTGAAAACGAAACAAAAAACGATCGTTTAACGATCGTTTAACGATCGTTTAACGATCGTTTACAAAAACGATTAACAACCCTAACGTAAGTACCTACAGTACACGCCTTCGGTTCGGTATTACCCATCGAGATATTAGTATTACTTAAACACACTCTTTTGGTAAAGACACACATACATGACGTTTCCGCCCCCTGCATGGTTAAATTATAGAAATTCATAAATCACGATATTCTTCAATTTGACTAAATTTTCAATTGTTTACAGATTACCTCATGTAAAGTTTTAAATATTTTTATACAAAATTTTTATGATATTTGAGGTTTAGGTTGTGTTATGTTACGATATAATTTCTGGGCCAAGCGCTGCTGCTAGGGAGCCGAGCGCTGCGGCCAGAACGTTCCAGGAGGCATAGCGCCTGGGCTAGGACAGGCTAGAGGGCCGGCACTGCGGCCACAAATAATTCTAAAATAAGGATGCCAAATTGTTAAAATTTATTTTGAATTTAAAAAAATTAATGTCATTTGAAAATAATGTTTTTTTTTATTTTGTTCATGTGTGCTATTGTTCAAATGGACATAACCATAGGTTCGTGAACAGCCAACTTTAGTGCAATTGTTCGTTATAAGTTTCATCGGCCGTTATAGTCCTATCGAAATAGCATAATCCGTCTCCCTATCCTCAGAAACTTATCATTAATCGGCTTTTTATTGAAATTTATTTAAAGACGACTTTTGCCTGTGGGCTGAGAAACAAGAAAATGCCGCAAATCAATATATATCATGAAAATCTGCGCTGTTCTAGTAATACGTTTCTCGCTTCAAACCCGACTATACCGGTTTGTAACCATAAACACTAGTTATTATAGTCTATTCAGTTGTGTGATAGAAGAGATATTTTAAAATTGACTATTTTACATTTTTTCCGTTATTTTTAACATGTAAGACCTCTATATGACTAATATTCCTGTAGATAAAAAATGGCCGTTATCGAAGAACTTGTAGATGATGTTAGTGTAAGTATTTGGTTAAATCTGACGCAACCTTTTAAGTTTTATTTTTAAATTGAGGCTTAATCAGATTATACTTTCATTACTTTTTAAAGGTATTTTCTGGTCCCCCTCACATAGAATTTAAAATATTAACCCACTTATATAACCCCCATAAATGATATTTATGTTTTGGTGAAGTAAAAATTATTTTTAGGGTGATGAATTATTGGCTAAATTAAGAAAATTGTTTCGATATGTCCTATTTTTTGTTCTTTAAAAGATTAAAATTTATAACACCCGGTAATTCTTTTAAATATATATATCTCAGTCCTATATTCTAGGAGGAAAGTGATACTGTAGAATCTGAAACAGCGGAAATGTTCGCGGCTCATGTTGCGAAGGAAAGAAAGAAATATGAAGCCGCACCTATGGAGAAATTTATTGCGAGTAAGATTTCCTATTCTATTAGCGTTGGCGGGTCCGTCCTAGAGAACGATTTTTGGACTCCCGCCCCCCACCACCTATCAAATTTGTACATGACCACTTTTTCAATTTTCAATTAAATTAGTATTTATTTAGGGTTAGGTTAGATTAAGACACTTTCTGGGCCGAGCGCTGCGGCTAGGACAGGCTAGGGGGCCGAGCGCTGCGGCCACTTGGTCAATTATATCCATAAGATTAGGACATATATACGGTTAGGTTAGGTTAGGACACTTTCTGGGCCGAGCGCTGTGACTAGGACAGGCTAGGGGGCCGAGCGCTGCGGCTAGGACAGACAAGGGGGCCGAGCGCCGTTGCTGGGATATGCTAGGGGGCCGGGCGCTGCGGCCACATGGTCCATTATATCCATGTCTTACATTTAAGATTCATTTACAAAATTGATATGAGGGGGGGGGGTCCAAAAATCGTTCTTTAGGAAATTACTTCGTTGGCCCCTCTCATGTAGGGGTGGATACAGGATTTAAGGGAGGGGGTTTATATTTATTTCGGAACGAATAAATCCAGATTTAGGAAACAAAAGACGCGCCGCATGCGATATTTTTTTTTGACTTAGAGACTCAAAAAAGAGCCAAAATTAATGACTAAAGACTAAGAAAACTAGATTTTTTAAAGTCATTATATCCTATTAAGATAGATATTTTTCCTGTTTTCACTAGGTTTTCTTTCCCTTAAGTGCTATTTAGAAGCTATTGGGTGGGTAATTCTTAAAAATATACCTCCCTGCCCAGACCCTTCACCTTCCTGCTCATTTTAGAAAGTAGGTTTCTAAATTCTAACCTTTCTATTTTCAGTTTTGAAATCTCTGATAATGCGTGCTTTGGTTGTATTCTTCCTCTACTGGGTACTCAGTCGAGGACCCGCCTCACCGCCACCGGCCGCCAATACTCCACAAGATTTCGGCGATGATTCATTCGACCCTATTGCCGAAAGCGATGATTTTGATAATCTTGATCACGTTGATGATCCTTTTGGAAAAATAGAACTTTAGTTTTGAACTTATCAGTATTTTAACTCAAACATTGTTAAAATTTCTAATCCCCAAAAATGTTTTGTTTGTAAATTGTTCACTCTGTAGTTGGCAGTTTAGCAAGTGAGTTGCTATTACGTTATTGATACATCCTGTTAAGAATATTTATTCTCATTTTTATTGTTAATTATTTAAACCTAAATTCTAAATGGTGCTACTTTATCGCAAACTAGATTTCTAGTGCAAAATTGTCATGTTAATATTCATGCAAGACGAGTCAAATATTTACCAAGACTTTCAAACCAAATAAAATAAACATCGCTTCACGCTAAATGATGTTTATTAAAAACGAAAAATTTTCAGATTTGAAAATGGCGATAATAGAGGAGGTCGGGGATAGTGGGGAAACCAACTATCTGCAGGTTAACCTACTGCCAAGTTTAAAGAAATCCCGGGGGGGGGGGTTAGTTTAATTTTATTTTTTTTTCAGAAAGTTAAAAAATTCATCGAAGAAAAAGTTAAATTTCAAGATAAATAACATTTCTTGGAAGAAGAACATTTTTAGGCAGGGGAAATAATTATTTTTAAAATATTTTGTCTTGTATACAAGTTTTTATATCAAAGATGTTAACTACAATGTCGGAAACTTAGTAAGTAGCTCATGTCTCCCGAACTTCCCAACAAAAACTGTAAGAAAAACTCGATACAAAGTTTTTTTTTTTGAAACAAAGCTAGATGAAATGTTTTCAAATTGTTATTGATATAAAATTTAAATATGTTTTTAAGCATAAATCAAGCATAAGAGTTCGGGTTTGCACGTACAAAGTTTACCTATCATTGAAAGATCTTAAGTATCTTCAGAAGGACCTGTCATGAAATTTGAAGTTACCCTCCATTTATAAACTGGCATCCCGATTTACCACAGTACCCTTAAAACCATTATACCATAATGAGGAAGATAACGTCTTTATCCTAGCTTTAATAGGGAGTAATTTCTGATAATTTCCTCATTGTTTTTCTGAAATAAAAAGTAACTTTTGTGAAGTATCAACAATTGAAAATAATTAGTTATAAATTATAAACATGTTAATCTAATTCATACTTGATTAGAGAAAGTTTTAAAAGGTACTGTTATGAATCGGATGTAACACTCAATAAATATAAACTTATCAAACCAAGTGCTTTTATTCAACTGCGTACATCACGAACTCAACACAGCGCACACTGGAAATGCATCTGAATACAAGCGGGGTTCGATAAGTTTACACACTCATATCTCTGCACTGGACAAGCTAACAAAGGGTGTAAGGGTACCGTTGTAAATCGGGCATTTTCCTCTTTACATGGAGGTTCACTTAAAATTACGCTTACAGTCCGTGTAAAGAACAAAAATGCTTACTTATAACATTATACCCAACGAAACGCTGTGATAAAATTTGATGAAATATTTGAATTGTTGTTTAGGTAGCCCAGAGGTCTAGCAATGAGGGCGTGGTTGTCGAGGGGGAGGGAGGCGTGGCTGTAGCTCCAGCAGAGGAGGAGGGAGCACCTCAGAAAATTTTTGGAGTTCTCAAGGTAAACAAATTCAAAACAAAATATCGATTTGTAGAAATGACGAAATGATTTTGTCAATCTAATCTTAGCTTAGAATCAGACTATTTTATGACTAATGCCTAAATATCCCATAGAACAAAATTATTTAAGCTTATTGTAAAGTTGCTTTCAACTTTATTATTACAATTTTGTACGTGTAAAATTATTTAAGAATTAAAATCATATGACTCAATTATCTAGTTTTTTTTTAATCCCAAAGTCACTAGTAATCAATCATAATTATTAAATTTCTACAGATATGGCATAAACAACAAACATGGCACCAATTAATTTGTATAATTTCATTGTTCATATTGTTTGGTTGATGCACATTTAAATAGCTAATTTTGTAATTAAAATGTTGGTTAAATCTCTTTAATATTGATTATTTTAGTCTGTATTCACCCGAATGATTATGTTCTGGTTGATTATGCAGTTCTTTAAGAAGTCACCTGGTGCAGGTGATTACTAGAGAAAGCTTTTAAAACTACGTAATTGTCGGGGAGTATATAGACATGGAGAGGTGGTAGATAGAAATCGAGAGGTGGTAGATAGACATGAGGACTGAGGAGGTGGTAGATAGACATTGGACCAGATGGACATGGAGAAGGAGCAGATGGACATGGAGAGGGAGCAGATAGACATGGAGAGGGGGGAGATAAACATGAAGAGGGGGGAGATAAACATGAAGATCAGTTCTGTAATATGACGATGCCAATTCAGATATGTGTTTTGAGACCAAACATTAATTTGGAACATATTTTAATTGTTAAAAGGGGATCTCTGTATAACATGATTTGATTTGATAACGCGTGATCCGAATATATTAAATATTCCAGGGTTTGTCACGGATTAACTCTTTCCTAACATTGTTGAAAGAAAGTATTATACATATATCTTGAAATTCATTGGGGGACTGAAGGGGTGGGGGTGAGGAAGTTTGTAAAATTTATGCGGGACAATGGGGGGGGGGGGGGTTATACAAACCCATGACTTTTGTGAGGATAAATCATCATATACTAAGTATAAGTAATATCTGTTTTTTTGCCTTTAAAATCGTTTGTCCGATCATAACTCATGAACCCCTTTACGCCTCAGATTTTGATTAGGGAACTCGGTAGTATCCGGGAATGTACTTTGCTTGGCTTAAACATTTTAAAGTTAATTTGGTTATCTTTAATAGCGAAAGTTTTATTTCCAGGTCAAGCTGGGTTCCCAAGCTAGTATTATGTAAAATTTTAGCTTCGATACCCAGCAATGCCTGGAGGTTTACTAGAAGAGTTAACTCACTTAACTGAAAATTTGTTAAAACAAGTTAAGAACATACCCGTAGTTCTTTCTACAGCATTACAAAATCAAAATTTGGGGCAAATCGGTCTAGGGGTCCTTGAGTCATGATCGGATTTACAAACAATTAAACAGGCAAACAAACAAAGACACACACTTGGATTACAATATTATATATATTGATAACCATATTATCATGAACTAACATATTAAGGAATAATATTATTATGAGTTATATACCAAAGTTAATAGTATTGAGTTAAGGAACTGGAAATACGGGTACTGAGGTTTCCAAAACAAGATCACCCGCATCTAATCTATATCAAGTAAACTATATATTCATCTAATTTATATAAATACATTTAAAATTAGCATTTTAACACTTTCTAGCCTTCATGGATTTCTTTTTAACCCTTTTAAATTATCGCTTCCTTTATTTATTCTTGTCTTCTTCAATTCTGTCTTCCTAATTCCTTGATATTATAATCCTTTCGCAACCTTTTCGCACTGTTTTTCCATCCTTTCATCATCTCTCAAACCTTTTAATATCCCTTTTCCTTATCGTTTCATTGCCCTATCTTATCTTACTTTTCACTTCATATATTATCCTCTCCATCCCTTTCCTTTCTCACCTTACTTTCCTCTTTTTTTCTTTTCCCATCCATAACCTTTCCTTTTCATAATCTTTCCTTTCTTTTCATAATCTTTCCTTTCTTTTCATAATCTTTCCTTTCTTTTCATAAACTTTCCTTTCTTTTCATAACCTTTCCTTCCTCTAAAATAAGGCTTCGTTCTCTTATCAAGCTATTGAGAAGATATTTTGTATTTGAATGATACAAAAGTTGCCTTTTTTGTCTCAGATAATGTCCCCTCCCCCTTCTGAAGATATTATGCAATCAGATAATCTTTTTGTGACCTAGTTTATGAGATTTGATTGAAATTGTGGCAAATTTTATTTGTGGCATTTCCATGTGTTTCTATTTGGATACTTTTTGTGGCATATTTTCTGAGCTTTGATTGTATGTGTGGCATATTTTTTGTGCCAAGACATAACTAGTAGCTTTTTTGTGGTGAATTATTTGTGTGACATATTTTATGCTTTTATATACTGAAGGCGGTATATTTTAAACTTTGATTGCATTTGCAGTAGGTGTTGTGTCAGGGTATAACCTGAGGCATTTGTAATGATATTTGTTAACACAATATAATTTTGTGGCAGATTTTAAGCTCATTCATTATTTCTGTGGCAGATTTTATGCATCTAACCTGCAATTTTCTTTCATCTACTCTTTATTAATCAGGATGGAACCGGTTTTGATATGTTTGTTTACATTTCTGAACAGATGGAATTTGGAGAGTTTGACGTAAGTAATTTTTGTATAAATAAGATTGAAAAGAAACTGCAAGATTTTAATTTGAGAAAATGTCAATTATTATTGTAGTTAAAAAGATCAAATTAAATATTTATGAAAAATTAACCAAAAAAATTGAGTCTTTGCCTTAAACTTAATTTTCTAATTTGTTTATCTTGGCAACACAACGGTGAAGATCTTAGACATTTCAAATAATATACGATTTATCAAAGATCTGAATTTGTGATAAAGACTTTACTCCTTTACTACTAAAGACTGACTATATTTATTTTTTTAAACCCTCATCTGTTCTGTTTTTAGCTTAACTAGACTTGATGAATTTCTTGGTTTGTCCTTGATAACATGAAAAATGATAATTTAATCTAAGCTCTTTGGAGCAAAAAAGTCCACTTGGGGAAAAATCAACCTTTTTTTATTTGTATTTTTTTTAAAGTTAGCAATCAACACGTTGGGTACGTTAAAGTGGCATCATGGCTCAAATTTGTTCGCGTGCTGTGATGTTTTAAAAGCAAAAAAAATTCAATCAGTACGCGTATTTTTAAAAGAGACCTACGGGGAAATAAAATCAATTATTTTTAACATGCAAGCTAAAGATCGGGCTAAAAACTCGAAGTATAGGATGGATGGAATTGAGCCTCTGACACATACAAAGGATGCCGTAAGCCATCAAGGCAAAACATGATTTGATTTGTGAATTTGTTTTTTTGTGGGGGGGGGGAGTAAGTAAATTTTAAAAAAATTATTAATTTTTTTAATTTATCATATTGTAGATGGATGAATCCCTATTTTGGAAACTGACTGGATTGGAGTATGGAAAATGGGATTTAGGAATTCATTTCTAAAGCATTTTTATAATCATCAAAAGTTTTTATTTTAAAAACATAAATTGTTCTGGCTTTCGTTAGTGTAATGCTTTAAATGTTTTAACTCAGGAAAAAATTTGGATTCGACATTTGAGAAAACTGTTCAGGTTAGTTTAGTTGTAAATTTGTAATGCTTTTTCTTGAAATAATTCTCCCTCTTCAAATTCATTTGTTTCCATCCATGATAGGGTTCCATTTGTGAATTTAGGGACATTTGATGATATGAATGAGTTTTTAGAGAAAAAAAGTACAAAAAGGATTTGATTTTTTAAAGTTATTATTTTTAAGGGAAAGGGGAGGTATATGAAAATATGTTAATTTTTCACTTATCTTTTGTGATTTTTTTCTGTGTATAATTTCATGTCGTATTCCAGGTCCCAATATCTGATAGAGTCCAGAATAATGGATCCCTTTATATTCATACTTTCATTGTAAAATCAGGAAAATCTCCAGACCCAAAGTAAGTGGATTTTATTGCAATGCATGATCTCGATCTTTTATTATTCTGAAGATTAATTTAATCTTTATTCGATTTCCCGCATCGCATGGTATTCGCACAAGGCAGGGTTTTAAGGGAGCTTTGACTTGGGGAGGAATTACTAAAATGAAGATATTGAAAGGTGTAGTTTTTTATAGATCCTTAAATTAAAAGTGCCCATAGTGGATATCGAGATCAAACAATCTGGATTATAAGACTACAGTAAAAGAGTTCTCAGCTCTGTCTACGCATTTCAAATTAATCTTATTTAGGGCTGGTAAACTGTTCAGTAAGAAGTATACTGTTTATAAATCTCAAAGACTGAATAAATTCAAGAAAAAACAATATAAAACTACAGCTAACCTTCTCACAGGTACAATATTATATCATTGATGTAAAGTTTTGACCTGACTTGAAATTGACAAAGCTTTTTACTCTTGGCTTTGTTCTTGAGTTTGGTATTGGCTTAGGTCTTGACTTAGATGTTTACTTTATTCCTTGCTTTGGTCTTAACTTCAGTCTTGTCTTAGTTTTTGACTTTTGTCTTTACTGTAGTCCTTGTTTTGGTCTTGACTTTTGTCTTTACTGTAGTCCTTGTTTTGGTCTTGACTTTTGTCTTTACTGTAGTCCTCGTTTTGGTTTTTACTTTTGTCCTCACTTTCGTCCTTGCTTTGGTGTTGTCTTAGGTTTTGACTTTTGTCTTTACTTTAGGCCTTGTTTTGGTCTTGACTTTTGTCTTTACTTTTGTCCTTGCTTTGGTTTTGTCTTAGGTTTTGACTTTTGTCTTTACTGTAGTCCTTGTTTGGGTCTTGACTTTTGTCTTCACTTTAGTCCTTGCTTTGGTCTTGTCTTAGGTTTTGACTTTTGTCTTACTGTAGTCCTTGTTTTGGTCTGACTTTTGTCTTTACTTCAGGCCTTGTTCTTGTTTTAGATTTCGTCTTTATTTTCGTTGTTTTAGTCTTAACTTCTGTATTGGTCAAGGTTTTGACTTTTATCTTGGTTTTAGTTTTGGCTTTGTTCTTTGCTGTGGGCATAACTAATAACTATAGTCTCGATTTGGTCTAAACTATTTGGTCTTGACATTGAAATTGATACTGATCTTTTTAATGTTTGCACAAAAAGAATTAATAGGAAGATATACAGTATTCACCATCTATTTAATTTCAGGGTTAACCGAGCAGAGTGAGATAGATCAGGAGAAAGCTAAAACTATAAAATCTGAAATAGTTTCCCATTGGCATCCTAACCTTACAATAAATCTAGGTAGTTTTACTAGTTTACTAACCTTACAATAAATCTAGGTAGTTTTACTAGTTTCCTAACCTTACATTAAATCTAGGTAGTTTTGCTAGTTTTCTAACCTTACAATAAATCTAGGTAGTTTTACTAGTTCCCTAACCTTACATTAAATCTAGGTAGTTTTACTAGTTTCCTAACCTTACATTAAATCTAGGTAGTTTTACTAGTTTCCTAACCTTACATTAAATCTAGAAAGTTTTACTAGTTCCCTAACCTTACAATAAATCTAGGTAGTTTTACTAGTTTCCTAACCTTACATTAAATCTAGGTAGTTTTACTAGTTCCCTAACCTTACATTAAATCTAGAAAGTTTTACTAGTTTCCTAACCTTGCATTAAATCTAGGTAGTTTTACTAGTTTCCTAATCTTACAATAAATCTAGGTAGTTTTACTAGTTTCCTAATCTTACAATAAATCTAGGCAGTTTTACTAGTTCCCTAACCTTACAATAAATCTAGGTAGTTTTACTAGTTTTCTAACCTTACGATAAATCTAGGTAGTTTTACTAGTTTCCTAACCTTACAATAAATCTAGGTAGTTTTACTAGTTCCCTAACCTTACATTAAATCTAGGTAGTTTTACTAGTTTCCTAACCTTACATTAAATCTAGGTAGTTATACTAGTTCCCTAACCTTACATTAAATCTAGGTAGTTTTACTAGTTCCCTAACCTTACATTAAATCTAGGTAGTTTTACTAGTTTCCTAACCTTACATTAAATCTAGGTAGTTATACTAGTTCCCTAACCTTACATTAAATCTAGGTAGTTTTACTAGTTCCCTAACCTTACATTAAATCTAGGTAGTTTTACTAGTTTTCTAACCTTACATTAAATCTAGGTAGTTTTACTGGTATCCACATAAATTATTAAAATATGCAAAAAAAAAAAAAATTTGAAAATAATTTTTTTGTTAAAAAAATTCAGTAAATCTTATAGAAATGACCTGGATCCGGATCCATTTTTTCCAGTGCGGATCCAGGATCCGGATCCGCATCAAAATTAAATGAATCCTAAGCACTGCCTATCAGGGTTAGGCTACATGAACTGCAAGTTTTGATTTTGATAACAAATTGCCCTAGCAGGGGATAATCTGCTAGTTTTTGAGACAGAAAAATCCAACAGTTAGAAGGCTACACTTGGGCTGGAAATTTAAAGCTTGGGAGGAATCCTGCTATAATAACAATCATAAAAGCCTTTTTAAATGAAATAGTTATTGTCAGACCCCCCTGGGCCCTTTATTATATGAAGCCTTAATTTGTATCATTCTTGAAGTTATTGTTTTGAATTAACAACAAGACTTAAGACAAATACAGCTTAGATTGTTATAAATCATTCATTTGTTTAGTATTCGACCACACCCCTTGGGTAGCAGGCCAGGTTCCGCCCCCTCTAGATGATTTTGTTGAGTTTACCACCACCCTGCAGCAATATAAACCTATACTCTGGTTAAATGATTACTGGAATCTACAGAGGGATTATATGCCAATCAACAGGAAATATTAACATTCAAATTAGGTTTTAAGGAAATGATTTAATGTCAAGAAACCCATCATACATGGTTCACAATGGTACCCTTTAAAACCCCTCTGAGCAAAATTGATATAGATAAGTATCGGATTTTTATCTGAAAAATTGATTTTTCCCATTGTAGTTTCTCTATGAAATTACCGTTTAAAGAAAATTGTCCGACTTTACACTTCTCCAGAGAGGAAAGCAACGTTATCTTACGTATTGTTGCTCAGACAAAGGTTGAATTTGGTTACTATTGTGAATCGGACAATTCCTTAAATTGGGGAATTTTTTTTAATAAAAAGTTATAGTTTCTCCATCCAGAAAAAAGACCCCTGGGAAAATTAAAGGTTTTTTTTTAAGGGGGGGGGGCCACAAAACGTATTACTCTCCGGAAAATTTAAACAGTGGTTAAACATAACTTAGAATTGTCGTAGGAGGCTGATTTTTTGCATGCAAACTCAGAATTATGTATATTACATGCATTTTTTGGTTTTGAAGGAATCTGAGCAAAAGTTTAAAATAATTATTAATATTTTTATTATTATTATTAATATAAATATCTGATTTTGATGTTTGTATTCTGCAGTTCAACTCCTCTACTCAACCTTACTCTAACATTCCAGCCTCTCTCTATGTTTAAGTGGCAGATGTATTCAGCTCAATCTCTTAAAAATAAGTAAGAATAAACTTTCGACATACATGCAGCGTAATTTCACGTGACCTTCATTTGTTAGAGAGGCATGTCTAATTCCCAAGGGGTTTCCCTAAAAGCTTTGTCTGAATTATGTTTGAATTAGATTTTCAAAACTAGTTTTTTAACGTTCTAAAATTTTTGGCGCTTCGTGCACAGTTAAAGGATAAAGACAGTCGAACATCTTTGTCACCATACTTCTAATTGTGGTGGGAAAAAAGTGAATGATATACACCACTGAGTGCTAGTCCCAACCCTTGTCCCATATTCCTAGTCATTGTTTTTGCAAGTACTTAATACTAGTCGTACACTTAACTATTCCTACCAACAATTTGAAGAAAATTGCAAGTCAAATGAGTTGAAACAGAAATTTCAAGAAAATGAAGTTATAATATCACAATGGACATTGAATTAACAATGTAGTGAATAATCAGAATATTTGATCTCTTGTTATGAATCTTCATGACAGAAACTATCTCAAGAACTGACTAGAGTCAACCAAGACCGAAATATATTTTTAATAAAATGTGGAACTAATATCTACTTTATTAACTCGAAAAGAATTGGTCCATCATCTACACACAATTTAAATATATTTGATCTCTATTAGAATTTTTTGGGCTATTTTTATTTTTTTTGATGGTTTTACTTAGGTTCAATATGCTGGGTAACCTGATGGGTGATATGGAGGAGGAAGATCAGGATCAAGACAGTGTCAAGGAGGTTAATATTTAAAAAAAAAAACTTAACTTTCTTCTGTTTCCGATTTTTGTTTGTGATAAGTGTCCTACATAGTTCATAACAGCTAGGACGATTGGGTCGTTACATTTCTGCAGGATCTCGCTTCGTGTAGTTTGCAGGATCTCGCTTCGTGTAGTTTGCATTGATATTGGAAAGTTAAGAATAAAAAAATAAAAAGATAAAGGATTAAATGGATGAAAATTGCAGAACAAAAAACAATTAAGCTTGAAATTATGAGAAAAAGGGATGTCAAGTGTCCCATTGTTTAATTTTAAATCATTAAATCAACCATTCTAATTGTTTGGAGGAAGAATCATGACTACCCTTTGAATAGCACAATACAGTTGTCGTCGTATATATCATTAAACTGAAGACAACTCTATTTATGATTTCAATATTTGATTTCTTGCTTTAGCCTACCTTGATACACATAAACATGGAAACAAAGAGAAGCCGTCAAGCGGTTCATGAGCTATGATCGGACATGCAACAAAACAGACCATCAGAAATTACAACTTGATATTTATATATAAGATACAACCTTGTTTTCAACTTGAAGTACAGGTATTTTAATTCCAGGCTTTTCTGGAGACAAATATCTACTTGTTGGTCCTCACCTTCGTTATCTCTATAGTCCACAGTGTCTTCGAGTTTCTAGCATTCAAGAACGATATTCAATTCTGGAATAACAGGTACGCTTATTTTATAACTACGAAATGGAAAAAAAATAATTAAGGTGCGAGCATGTAGTCTTTTCAAGTTAGATATGCCATGGACCCTTACCCCTCCCCCACCCACCCCGTTTTCCTGACTGATTTACTTAGATAGGACCAACACCATTACTTAAATAGGACCAACACCATTTATTAAGTTAATAAAAAATTTGGCAAAAAATTTCAAATTATTTGTTTTATATAGAGTAAATCCTTAAAAAGTTTAATATAAAGGAACTGAACACTCCACAAACTCCAGTCAATTTTCTAATTCTTTTATCATATACACCTAATGGTCTTAAACCTTACATAGTTCAATATTCTTCCATCAATTTGTCTTATTTAAAGGAATTATACCCAAGGATTATGTGCTCAATCTGTGTTCTCATACAAATTTATCTTTCTATCTACCTATGAATCTATCTTTCTATTGAATATCTAACTATTCATATATCATCTATTTACCTATTCATCTTATCTATTGATAATCTATCTATATATTTATCTTTCTATTCATCTATCTACATTTTCATCTATCTATCCATTCATATATATATATATATATATATATATATTTCATTTTTTAACTTTTTCCGGACGAATAGACAATTAGGTTTTTTTGTTGTTGGGTAAATATATGTTCATCCATGATACGCTTACTTGATGGAGAGAAGCGTCGGTCCCGAGTTCATCGAATGACGGGTGTCTTTTCATAAAAATAATAATAAAAATCAAAAATAAATTTAAGTTTTTTTTGCACTGATGTTTATGTTGATAATAAATTCCTTTTTAGAATATCTTGCGGAGTTGGTTTACTGATAGAACTCTGGAAAATAACCAAAGTGTCCGATGTCAGTTTCGACTTTGAGAATCCAGTAATGGGCCTCATTCCCAGACTTATCGTGAGTATTTTTTGTATCCCAAGTCATTATAAATATATATTATTGAAAAACGACAATATTGTTCAGATAAAGATTTCAATGGTACCATTGTGAATCAGGCATTGCAATCATTACAATGCGGGTCACTTAAATTACACTTCAGTCTCGGCCTTTTTGTTATGACAAATATTAATTTTTAGAAGATATCCCCCCTCTTCCTTCCTCACCGGCCCCCCTCCCTCCCTCCTATTCACTGCTTTTATCCATTGCCTCATTATTTGTTATGTTCAGATTGTTGAGAGAAAAGATTACAAGAATTCTGGAACCAAGGAGTTTGATAGAATGGCATTTAAATATCTGGGTAGGTACACAGAGGGGATGTATATTTTCTTTTAATATAATACCCCCCCCCCTCCCCCCTCTGCAATAGGGATATTTAAAGTTTAATTTCTCGCTGAACTGGGGAAAATATATTTTTTTTATAATTAAGTATCAAAAAGAACGAAAAAGTTGCCTTTTATGTCCAATATTTCTTTTTATTTTTATTACTTTAAAAGGATGGTAATAAAATATTCGGGTCAGAACATTACAAATTAAGGAGACCATTTTGTAAACATCGTATTTAAAGGGCTGTCACGGTTAAACTAAGTGCATTTAAACTCCAAGTTGAGTATATGGTGAGCTTAGGGGAAAATGAAGAAAATTTGGTTTATCACTGATACATGCTGTTTTTGAACAAAATTTAATGCTTCCCCAGATAATAATCTAGTTTTTGCAGGGTTAGGGGGGGGGGGCTAATTAATAAAAAAAAATCCCAGTTCCGAATTTTTTGGTGCACAGGAATTTGATCTATAACTCTTTTGACCTAAAAGGAATCTGATCTAACAGAATCTGAACAACGTGGACTCTGATCTAAAAAGAAATTAGTTCAAATTTCCTCTTTTTTTTGGAAAATGTGGAATTTGATTTAAAACTTAATTTTCGAATAAAAAGTGTTTTCTGGCAATGAATAATAAAAAATGAATATGTTTAAATTCTCATTAGGTCAGATTACTTTTAGATCAAATTTCCTTTAGGTCAATAGGCTTATAGATCAGATTCCTGAACAGGGTTCAAAGACCAAGCTCAAATTCATTAAATGTGGTCCCTGGTTAGTGGTTAATTTATAAAAAAAAACATGATCAATTCATGTAAATTATAAAAACTAGTGCTCAGAGATTGAATCAATTAAATGTAAAGAGTTCATAATAAAAGAGAAAAATAAAATCTACAGATTGAATTGGAGATAATCCTTATTAAAGCATCAGCTAATTTCATAGCCTGAACTTTTTTGATAAATAATTTGAAGTTTAACAAATCTAAAATTAAACATTTTGGACAAAAGAATAAACACAATCATTATTTGAGGTCATATAAATTTTGTTTTGTTCTAGAATAAATCTGAATAATAACTATTTAACATCATGACTTTTACGACATACATGTTGAAGTTAATTAAACTAATTATTCTTACAAATATATTATTTTTATCTATCTAAGGTATGCTTTGCTTTCCCCTGGGATTAGCTTACTGTGTCTACTCTGTCATTTACAACGAACATAAGGTAAATTTTATAAAAGAAAGTTTCACAATAAAATATAAAAATTGTCATTATTTTTGTGCAAAATAAATTTAGGACCGGAACATGGTCAAATTAAAATATGGGTCCATTCGTTGCTAAGAGACATGTTATTTTCTCAGTCAGCAACTGTTGAGATTTTTGAGCCATGTTTTTATAATTAAAAGAGAATCTAATACCATCTAATTTAAAAAGATTAATTTTTTTTGACGGGTTGCTTAGGCTTATGGATTAGTTGAATATTTACTGGATTACTGGAATATTTTTCGCTGGGAGATCACTTTTGAGACATTTTCAGCCAGTCAATATATGTTTTTTGTTTTACTGATAGTGCATTAGGTTAAACCAGTGATCTCGGCGCCCCTGACACCTTTACTAGGGATCTCGGCGCCCCTGACACCTATCACATTGAAGAAATATGTTTGTCATAAATATTCCTAAAACTAATCAATATGATAAGTCTCCTAAGGTAATTGCAGTCCGTATTGCCCATCAACACGTTTCAACGGTGAATAGTGCTGACCAATCTCAGTTGAATTCTGGGGTTTTCTTTAATCTTTAATTATAATATTTTAACGATTATTATTGATGTATTAATAATATGATTGATTGATTTATCATCAGGGTTGGTACAGCTTTGTGCTGAGTTCCTGCTACGGATTCCTTCTTACATTTGGATTTATCATGATGACCCCGCAGGTACATATTCAGTCCTCGATCCATTCTTCTTTCTTATTATTTATAAAGTCATTCATTCATTTTATCATTTCTGTTACGCGACTAGGCATTTTTCCTAAAGACCTAATGAAAGCTATATAAGTACCGTGCGGTATTTCTCAAGATTGGATTATAAGACTTCCTCTTCCGATCGCTCTCCATAATAAATGACAAACAGGATGAGTTCCGATCTTTTATTCACCAAGACTTCAATCTAGCAAAAATAAAACTAGATAGACCACAGGAAAAGCTTTTGAATTCATAATCATACAATACAAGTAAATCAATTCAAGCATTAACAACCTGTGGAACGGAACCAACAACATACACTATAAATCATCAAATCCATGAAAAACACAAAATATAAAGTATTTATATGAATTAATCAATTCCAATTACTCAATTTCCCTAAAAAATCTTTCCCCTCCCTCCCTTTGAAGAAAATAACTTTTTTCTCCAGAAATTCGATATGGAAACGCGGAGCGAAAATTTTTTTTAAAGATGTAATTCTGAAAAATATACACCCCTTTAATTGTGGAAAATTTTATTTTATGGTAATTCCATGTGTTTGCATTGGGATACTTTTTGCGGCATATTTTCTGAGCTTTGATAGTTTGCGTGGCAGATTTTATTTGCTAAAACCTAATTCAAAGCATTTTTTGCGATTGAATATTTTTGTGGCATATTTTATGATTTTCTCTGGTAGGAACCCGGAGTTTAACCCACAACTTGGAGACAACGAAAGAATTTATAAAATGTTGCCTTGACAGTAATTGCAAAAAATAAAAAAATATCCATGAATATGCGGGTATTGAGGTTCATATAATTAAATTATTCAATAAAAAAAACTGGAGCATATTATTATCATTAATTTCAGAAAACGAAAATTTTTAAATTTTTTCGATGTCTCTAAAGTTCAGGGTTAACCTGTAGATAAAGCCAGAGTATGGGGTCTTTTTACCATTCATTTATTTAATTTTTCATTATTTCCATCCATACATTCGTTTATTTGCTAGTTTATTTGTTTATTAAACGAAGTCTAATGATATCTGTGTTTAGTTGTTTATCAACTACAAGCTGAAGTCTGTTGCCCATCTACCATGGAGAATGATGACTTACAAGGTTAGTTATTCTAGTTCTTCTTTCTTTATTCCTCTTCTAGTTCTTCTCATCTTTTCCTTCATATCTTCATTCTAACACTCCTTTACATCTTCCTTCATACAATCTTTTTCATTTTCCTTTTTACAATCCTTTACATCTTCCTTCTTACAATCCTTTACATTTTCTTCTTACAATCCTACATCTTCCTTCTTACAATCCTTTACATCTTCCTTCTTACAATCCTTTACATCTTCCTTCTTACAATCCTTTACATTTTTCTTCTAACAATCCTTTCCATTTTCCTTCTTACAATCCTTTACATCTTCCTTCTTACAATCCTTTACATTTTCCTTCTTACAATCCTTTACATCTTTGCTCATACAATCAATTAAACATATCTTTCTCTTTTTTTCATGTTTTTTATGTTTATCTACATCTATCCTCTCTTTCAGATTATTTGTTTATTTTTCCTCTAGAACTTATCAAAAATATCAGAAATCCTATTCTTTTTGTTTTCTCCTTTATGATAACACGGACATCTTCCTCTTCAAATTTACGTTTTCCCTCCTCTTATTTCTTATTTTAGCTTTCCCTATGCATTTGACCTATGTCAACTAAACTGAACTAATTATGAACCGGTGCAATGGAGAAGGGGGTTAAACTATATCTAAGTAGTTAAATCTGGTCTCCAGTCGAAATTTGTCTGTCGTAAAAGTGCGGAAAATGGCAGCTCGAGACCCTACGAATCTAAATATTTTTAATTCTAGGCCCTAAACACCTTCATCGACGACATCTTTGCATTCGTGATCAAGATGCCAACCATGTACAGGCTGGGATGCTTTAGGTCGGTTCACAATTATTAAAATAGAAATGTAAAATATATTTTATCAGAACGAGAAATACAAATTTAAAAGCATGATCCCTTAATATTTTAATTTGGAAAAATATGAAAAATATAAAAATGTATAATTTGTTAAAAAGAAAAAAGGAAATGTTATCATTTAATCCAATTTTGCGATTATCTTTATATAATGTTTAGGGATGATATTGTATTCTTTATTTTCATCTAGCAGAAATATATCTACAAGAAGTAATTTTTATTTAATGTTTAGGGATGACATAGTTTTCTTTATTTTCCTTTATCAGAAGTATATCTACAAGGTCGACCATACCAGGTAAACTTGACAATTAAATTATTCAGAGAAAAAAAAAAAATCTAATTTTTCGGACGAAAAAGCGAGTTTAACTAGTCCAGAGCTGAAAACTTGAGAATGGTGGATATCGAGATCAATGCTTGATACTCTCTGTTCATCTATCTTATTTAGTCTTTTAATTTCTAGAGATTAGAGAAGCCCTCTCCAACTTTTGAAAAACCGGTGGCCGAATTTAAAGAATTTGAGCGGCGGTTTAAATTTAAGCCGCGGTTTAAATATGGTCGGTTCCACTTAAAATTGTATCAAATGTTTCAAGATTCAAGCCGGCGCTAAATTTAAACTGGTGATTGGCGGATTTAAACCGCGGCTCAAATTCTTTAAATTCCATCTCAGGTTTTAATTTTTCCGCATTTTTGTGTCAAACCAATCGGAATCATGATCGATTGATGAACGTATGTTTCTTAGTTTTGGATTAATATTTATTAAGACTAACGTTCAAAAGGACTAGTTCTCAAATGTGATAAAATATGTTTTTGATAAGTTCATTTTAAGATGACAAAATTTATATTTCTTAAATGCTCTAAAAGCCGGCTTGTGAACAGCTGACTTTAGTTCAATCGGATATTAGTCCAATCGATAAAGCATTATTTTTTATCAAACGTAACCTACAGTAGGAATATCCAAGAAGAGACGATTAAGAAGAAAATCAAAAGTGTGTACGTTGGATATTCAGATTAAGCGATCAGGATTAAGGATTTCCCATTCTAAAGTTTTCAACTCAGACTGGATAAATTAATCCTCATATTCAACTCTGACTCTTTTAAAAAGTTTGATTGTCGATTTTTCTACTTAAAGATAGACTTTGTCTGAAAATATTGTGTTTAGGGTAAATGAGTTTGGTTACTCAGCCGAGATGGCGGAAGATACAGGAGCTAATAAGGTGAGTTGGAGATTATACACCTTGTTGTTGGAACCAGTGCCTAGGATCCATTTTATTTGGATCCGGATCCTGGATCCGTTCTTAATAAAAAAATGTATCTGAATCCAAATTCGGATCCGGATTCAGGTCATGAACATTTCTGTAAGATTCACTGATTTTTTTTATCAAACGCAGAATTTTTAAATATTTTTATTTTTTTTCGCTCATTTTATTCCTAAGACTTGATGAACCATTCAGAGATCAGGAAACGAATTTCTCTTTTTTTAACAGTTCAGATTTTGGTCTTAAGGGCTAACATTTTTTACAATTTTTGATATTTTGTCTCTTGGATCCGAATCCAGGGGGCCACAATGTTGAAGATCTAACAGATTCGGGTCCTAAACACTAGTTGGGACTTTTTTAGGAAGACATCTATGCGTTTGTCAATTATAAAATGTCGCATCTATGAAATGTTCTTGTGTGCAATTTTCCACACAATTGATAGGAGAAGAGGGGGGAATGTGTTATAATTAAAGCTTAAATTATTTTTAACATTTGTAACTTTAGGCCGTCACTGAGGATACCGCACAAGGAGCTTTAGAGGATAAATCAGTTGCTCCACCGACAGTGGACGATTCTGTCAATGAACCGCATGCGGAGAATACCGCAAGCGGAGATACTAAATGGAAGAAATCCAAGTCCAAGAAAGCTAAAAAAGTTGACTAGTCGTCGTTATTCCTTCTGGTAGTTGTTCTAATACCCGCCCCAGTCACAATTGTATAACAATTGATTGATTGATTTGCGGAGGGTTTTTGTGTTTTGTTTTGTCTTGTCTTGTCTTTTTTTAAGTTAAATGTATACTATAAATTATTAATGTTCAATGCGCACACACTGTCCCTTAAAACATTCATTTTATTGTGACAGCGCCAGTCAGGGGTGATGATTTTTACCTTAATAAAATTTTTTACACACTTTTTGTCAAGGTTAAGCCAAATTTTTTTATCGTTCACATCTCAATTTATTTTTTTTAACTATTCACTCCTGGTGTAAACATTTATTTGCTGAAGTCAGTTATATGTGATTTTTCTATGCTAATTACACTTCCCCATTCTCAAGTGTCTGGGATAGAATCATTTGATAAACCTAATTTAAACTATTGGGCATACTTATGATGATTTGCTGATATTGTTCCTCGCTCGCTACTGTAATTTAGAATCTAGATGAATAGATAAATTTTGGGGGAAATTACTCACGTAGAATTTTGTTGATTATGATTTTATGTTAAAAGCATTTTAAATTTTGTTAGTTATATATTAAGATATTTAATGTAGTTCTGTATTTAAAACTGGGACAATTGTTCAAAACAACATCTCACCAAACTTTTTTTCAAATAACAATATTGTTTCTAGATTAATTAATATGAAAGAAACTTAAATCGTTTATATTTATTTGACCCTTATTTTATTAAGAATTAAGTTCGGTTTACAACAACATTCTTCAAACATTTTTTTATGAAGCTTATTTAAATTATGATTTCTCTTTCTTTAAAATTTATTTGCGGATTCATGCTGAAAATACAACGAAGAAAATAGTGATAATTAAACACCAAGAAAAACAACAAACTTTCCCTCATCGTTTGTACCGTTTAAATTGGGAAAATCAATCTATTTCCCTGAAAACTAGTTGCAACTCAATTTCTAATTTATAATTTTCGCGGCCAAATTGTTTCCACATTTTTAATTTGATAAATTGTGAATGATTGTTCCAGATAGAATGGTGGATACTAGTGATCTGGACCAACAAATAGAACAGCTCAGGAGGTGTGAGATTATCAAGGAGAGTGATGTCAAGATACTCTGCGCTAAAGCCAGGGAAATTCTAGGTAAGTCTTGGTTTCGTTGTCGACCTTTGCTATTCTTTCACGAAATATTTAAGTTAAATATATTCCGCAATAGTTTGTGGTAATAAAAAATAATAATCTTAGCTTCTATTTCAGCTTTTTCGGTATGGGCATCTAATATTGCCAGAAACTCCTTTAATATGCGTTGTCAATTGCTAACTTTATGGCCTACACAATATTAAACAAAATAACATTACACTGGACTGAAAGATTCATATTGTTATCAAACCATAAGTATCTCGTTCTTTTCATCTACTGGCATTTTTGTTTACTGTTTACAATGCATAATTTATGCCTGTGAGTGGAGAAGCTAACTTAGATTTGTAAATAATCAATGTATCAGCTGTAGATAATTGATCTCTATTTGGTCATATTTAAAACTATTCCATCCAATTAAAAGTTATTAGCTTGAAAGGTTAGTCCTGCCAGTAAATTTTTTTTATTAATTGGATATTGTTCTAGTTGAAGAGAGTAATGTGCAGAGAGTAGATAGTCCTGTAACAGTGTGCGGGGATATACATGGACAGTTCTACGATCTTAGAGAATTATTTAAGGTAATGATCAATATTCATATTAGAGAGCTTTTTAAGGTTTAGTTTTTATCACCTTCAGCAATCAGAGGTATGGACATTAGACATAAATCTTACCCCAGCCCCCACTTCAAAACAAAATTTTGTGTGCAATACATTACGAATTTTTTTTTTAGTCTTCAGGAAGTGTGATAGATTTTTACAATTAAACTCCCCTCTCTCAGATTGTGAAAATATCTGGATAATAAGCCATCATTTAGAATACCTTCTTTCTGGAAAACAAAATTGCCAAACGGAAACTAGGCTTTATCATAATTTATTTTACATAGTTTACTAATGCAATGCGAGATTTTCTTCTTCCTAGTATTTCGAACTCTGGTATACCCCTCGTTAAAAGGAGGGTTTACTTTAACTTACGACGGTAGCCACTTGAAGGATCTTATCAGATCAGTAAATATTACTATTATAATTATTTTTGCAGGTTGGAGGAGATGTACCTAACACGAATTATTTGTTCATGGGGGATTTTGTAGACCGTGGATTCTACAGTGTTGAAACATTCCTCCTTCTCCTAGCTCTTAAGGTAAATTTTGTAAACATTCGTACAAATATTATTTACGGAGAGCAAACGTGTGTTTGAGGTTAATATCGCTTAAAAAGGGCTAAAAAGGAAATTGCTAATTTTAAATTCTCACTCCCCCCCCCCTTCGTTTATCATTTGCGATCCTACAAATTTTAAAGCCATGACTAAGGATGGGCAGTTTTTTACTTTTTAGAAAAAGACTGAAAGTTTCGTTAGCTATGTATCGTTTAAAACATAATGATCGTATTTAATATGATTGTTTTTTTTCATGAATGAAAGCGACCATTTTCATCTGAAATACTACTGGTTTAAAAAAGTAATAGGATCAAAGTATGAAAATTGCTATGATGGTGTTATGTCAAAACGATCGTTTTAGCTTCAAAACTGTGAGTATTTTTTTTCGTTTACAAAAGTTTAAAACCAACTTATAGATAGTTGAATTGTTCGTTTTGTCTATTAACTAAGGTTTGTTTAAAACTCGAAACGAAACGAAAAGCGATCGTTTATAGTCGCTATTTTTTCAGTCGCTATTTCAATCGTTTTTAAAAACTATGCCCTTCCCTAGCCCTGACTAATTATTTTATCTCTTTAAAAATTTCGATTATAACATTTCCCTTCTAGGTTCGGTATCCTGACAGAATAACTCTGATCCGAGGGAATCACGAGTCCAGACAGATCACTCAGGTTAGTGATTTTTAAAAAGGAGACCCCCCCCTGCCTTAGTATTTTGAGAGACTGTAGACGTAGTTTCAAATGACTCTTTATTTATTTTAGAGTGAATTTAACATTTTACCCTTAACGCCTGGTCAAGAATACATGAGTTGTCCAAAATCTTCTTTTAAAAAATTGATAGTCTTAATTTGTGTTTTCTCTGCGGAATTTATCGCTTTTTAAGATAGAAAAACGACGATGTCTCTCATATTATTGATCAGATAAAGTTAAGTTGGGCATGCCCATTCTTAAATGAAAACGCATAAATTTAATTTAAGTAAAAAAGTAAAAAAATGATCAGGGATAATAAAAAAATAAAAAAAATTTTGTTGTTGGAAAGTTGAAATAAAGTCTAAAGTTGGGCCCTTGTGTATTTTCAATATATTTTTCAAGTGTTTTATTCAGTGTTTCGAATCCATATCATTTTGATCCGGATCCGGATCCTGATACGGATCCGGATCCGGATCCGAGGTAACTTTTGATTCTGTGAATCGGATTTTCCCTATTAAATGTTATGCAAGGTTATAATTTATAAACTATAGTAATCCTATAGTTAAAAATGTCGTCATTACTATTATATAAATGTAAACATTAAATTATTAAAGATAATTTTGAAAAATTTTCGTCATGTAAATAATACATTTACGAACCATTTTGATTTATTTATTCCATGGTTTTGGTTAATTTTTGGCGCTACCAGGATCCATATCAACGTTTCCTGATACGGATCCGGATCCGGATCCGACCAAATGATACGGATCCGACCGGATCCGGATCCGAAACACTGGTTTTATTACAGTTGTAGTGTTGCTTAAACTTGAGTTGGTATGATTTATTATTTGAAAATAAGATTTGATATCCATGTTCACGAAATATATTTTCCCTCGTATGTTGATCGGAATTTTTTTTTATTATTTTGGTCACTCTTTAAAGTTTCTTACGGATTTATGTTGCAAAGACAAGAGAAATAATGAAATTTTAATTTTGGTTACTCTGTGATGTCTTACAAAATGTTGCGAATATAAATGTGAAAAGGGTACTGTTGTGTATCTTACATTCTCGACCACAATTCTTTTAAGGTGTACAAGTACAGATTTTAATACTTTAATGTACAGGTGTACGAATTCTAATATTTATATGTACAGGCGTACGGATTCTAATATTTGTATGTACAGTTGTACGGATCCTAATATTTGAATGTACATGTGTAGGGATCCTAATATTTGAATGTACAGGTGTACGTATCCTAATATTTGTATGTACAGGTGTACGGGTTCTAATATTTACATGTACAGTCGTACGGATTCTAATATTTGTATGTACATGTGTACGGATCCTAATATTTGAATGTACAGGTGTACGGGTTCTAATATTTGTATGTACATGTGTACGGATCCTAATATTTGAATGTACAGGTGAAAGGATATGAATATTTGAATGTATACAAGAGTACAGATTCTAATATTTGAATGTACATGTGTAGGGATCCTAATATTTGTATGTACAGGTGTACGGATCCTAATATTTGTATGTACAGGTGTATGGATCCTAATATTTGTATGTACAGGTGTACGGATTCTAATAATTGAATGTACAGGTGAACGGATCCTAATATTTGAATGTACAGGTGTATGGATTCTAATAATTGAATGTACAGGTTGTATGGATTCTAATAACTGAATTTACAGGTGAACGGATCCTAATATTTGAATGAACAGGTGTACGGATTCTAATATTTGAATGTACAGGTGTACAGATTCTAATATTTGAATGTACAGGTGAACGGGTCCTAATATTTGAATGTACAGGTGTACGGATTCTAATATTTGAATGTACAGGTGAACGGGTCCTAATATTTGTATGTACAGGTGTACGGATTCTAATATTTGAATGTACAGGTGTACGGATTCTAATATTTGAATGTACAGGTGTACGGATCCTAATATTTGAATGTACAGGTGTACGGATCCTAATATTGGAATGTACAGGTGTACGGATCTTAATATTTGAATGTACAGGTGTACGGATTCTAATATTTGAATGTACAGGTGTACGGATTCTACGACGAATGTCTACGAAAGTACGGAAGTATCACAGTATGGAGATACTGTACCGAGATATTTGATTACTTATCTCTTTCCGCAATCATTGATGGAAAAATATTCTGTGTCCATGGCGGGCTCTCACCCAGTATACAAACCCTAGACCAGATACGGACTATTGATAGGAAACAGGAGGTAAATATCAACATTCATTGAGTGATTCATTGAAAGAATTATTAAATGGTTGAACTGTTGATTGATTGATTGAGTGAATTATTGATTTATCGATATTTTTTAATTCGTTCCTTTATAGGTTGATTAATTCAACTTATTTGACGAATTTAGTTGTATTTTTTTTTCTTCATTTTCTTCATTCTCTGATTTTGTTCTATGATTCGTTTTTTGGTTAATTCATTCTTGGTATCATTTGTTTCTTGATTTAGTCTTTCATACCGCTTTTTTATCAACTTTTTATTGTCGACTCTACATTTAGTTGAATGATGTCTTGCTTTTTATAATAATAATAACGGCAACAATAGCGATAACAATAATGATAATAAGAAAGAAATAAAGTTTTGAAGAATATAAATATATATCCTCATGATGGTTATATGTGTGATCTACTCTGGTCTGATCCTGAGGATATAAATCTATATGATGTAATTGCCAGGTTCCTCATGATGGTCCTATGTGTGATCTACTCTGGTCTGATCCTGAGGATATAAATCTATATAATGTATTTGCCAGGTTCCTCATGATGGTCCAATGTGTGACCTGCTCTGGTCTGATCCTGAGGATATAAATCTATATAATGTATTTGCCAGGTTCCTCATGATGGTCCAATGTGTGACCTGCTCTGGTCTGATCCTGAGGATATAAATCTTTATAATGTATTTGCCATGTTCCTCATGATGGTCATATGTGTGATCTACTCTGGTCTGATCCTGAGGATATAAATTTATATAATGTATTTGCCAGGTTCCTCATGATGGTCCTATGTGTGATCTACTCTGGTCTGATCCTGAGGATATAAATCTATATAATGTAATTGACAGGTTCCTCATGATGGTCCTATGTGTGACCTACTCTGGTCTGATCCTGAGGATATAAATCTATATAATGTATTTGCCAGGTTCCTCATGATGGTCATATGTGTGATCTACTCTGGTCTGATCCTGAGGATATAAATCTATATAATGTAATTGCCAGGTTCCTCATGATGGTCCTATGTGTGATCTACTCTGGTCTGATCCTGAAGATACACAGGGCTGGGGAGTCTCACCAAGAGGTAACAGTTCAATTAAGTGAAGATCTAGGAAGAGGTAGGGCTACCGCTATGGCTAAGTAGGAGTAGTAAAATCTATAGTTTCCAGTGGGGGTTTCAGGCCTTAACGGGTGCTGAAGTAGGAAAGTCTCCCCTGGACAAATTCCTTATAACGTTCCTGGTTCTATTCTTGAATAATAAAACAGTTTTTTTTTTAGAAAAAGAACAACATTTTCTTGTTCACATTTTAAACTCGAGTCAGTGAAAATTTCAAAAAATTTAACAAATTCAACAAATTCTCGTTTTCAGGCGCTGGATACTTGTTCGGACATGATGTTGTTGCTCAGTTCAATACAGCAAATGATATAGAGATGATCTGTAGGGCCCACCAGGTATGTACAGTACAGTACAGTACAGTACAGTACAGTACAGTACGCGTTTTCCATTTTGAGGTATACGGCTAAACAGAAAAAACAATTCAAAATATGGTTCAGTTGCAAATCAATTAGAAATTAATATCGATATTTGGTCTTTTGTCCAGGTTTATGAAGAGGCGATTTTTTTTCGTGAAATTTCAAGCATCCTTTTGATTTGTTGGAAAGTTCATAAATAAACCCTTTCCTTACGGATAATTCTATTTAAAAACTCTCTTGTACACTGTACGTACACTATATGTACACTGTATGTACAGACCAAAATGGTAACAATAAAAATTAAGGTCTCTCGAAAGTTACGTCTTCAGGCCCGATAATAATGATATTTTAGCTGGTGATGGAAGGCTATAAATGGCACTTTAATGAAACAGTTCTGACTGTGTGGTCTGCCCCAAACTATTGCTACAGGTATTTTAATCTTTATGGAAACAAACTTTACGACCTTTTAACTCCTCCAGTTTTGATTGAACCCACAAAGGAGGAAAAGCATTATTTTTTGGCATTGAAGTGTTTATGGATTTAAAAACCAATTTGTCAGTAAGTTAAGATAAAATTCATGCAAAACTTCCACTAAAACGTTTACTAAACGTTTAAACTTATTAAAATTTACATACTAAAACGTTTAAATTAACGATATAAACAAACGCATGGTTAGATGTGGGAATGTTGCCGCTATTCTGGAGCTTGACGAAAACCTACAGAGAGATTTCACAATATTCGAGGTAGAGTATTATTATTATTGTTGTTGTTGTTGTTGTTGTTTTTGTTGTCGTCGTCGTCGTCGTTGTCGTTGTCGTTGTCGTTGTCGTTGTCGTCGTCGTCGTCATCCATGATTGTGATTGTCGTCGTCATCCATGATTGTGAGTGTCATCCATGATTGTCATTGTCATCCATGATTGTCATCCATGATTGTCATTGTCATCCATGATTGTCATCCATAATTGTCATTGTCATCCATGACTGTCATCCGTGATAGTCATCCATGATTGTCATCCATGATTGTCATTGTCATACATGATTGTCATCTATGATTGACATCCATGATTTTAATTGTCATCCATGACTGTCATCCATGATTGTCATCCATGATTGTCATTGTCATCCGTGATTGTCATCCATGATTGTCTGTCATCCATGATTGTCATCCATGATTGTCATTGTCATTCATGATTTTCATCCATGATTGTCAATTGTCATCTCCATGATCTTGTCATTGTCATCCATGATTGTCATTGTCATCCATGATTTTGTGATTTCCAGCCGACGCTGGTTCGTTCGATTTAGTTTATATTCGTGCTCCCACTTTACGAACGGGCACAATCAATGCACCCTGAAGATTTAGTTTATAATGGAATGCTATAAGCAAAGCTTCCTCTTTATCACTCAGATTAAAGACTCCTGTCAGTTTAGAATTTATTTGTAGACAGTAATCCAAAAACAGGTGAAATCAGTTTTCTATAAAAGTTACTTATAGAAAACCGTGGTGTATTTTTGTATGCATAATTAGAAAATACATTTTAGATTTAATACCTATTTAATCTTTGTCGAGAGAAACTTCGACCGTTCAACCTTTACACGCTGCTCAGTCTATAAAAATGCTTTATTAGTTTTTGCATATTTTTTAGAAGAATGTTTTTTCTTCTCTTACCCAAAAGGGAGTTTTAGACCACACTGCAGCGCTTGCGCAAAAAGGTTGCCCAAGTTTCGGCAGAAACGCAGCCTCTACTTAGATCTATTAAAAAGGGTTTGTATTAAAATCTTTTTAAATGCATTTTTTACAAATGTACAATTTTTACAGCTTATAAACTCATACCTATATATATTCCAGGTACGAAGATTGTGATAGGTTTATACATCCTAATCACATACTTGTAGTCCAACTACGCGCTTTAAACTTTCTCATTCCTTCTGAAAAAGATTTCAGAAATTAATATTTTCTTTAATGAAAGTTTTTTAAATATAGGATGAATATTGTTTAAATATTGGCTAAGTATCTTTTAGATAAAATCCATATAAAATTCATGGTTCTGAATATAAAATGTTTATGATTTCAGACAGCAAACTCAAAAGTTTTACATTTAAGTTTCAAGAATGAATTTTCATTTAAATAGTTTTGAAGATTTTTTGAGTAAATATTTACTTTGACAATTAAACAAGATCAAATATAATCAGATTGAATCTTGCTTCTATATCTTCAATCTTCAGGTCTTGAATCATCTATAGGATCATCCGAAGGGTTTACCGAATCGTCTTCAACCTATACAGTAGAATTTACAGATTTTCATCCATGATTGTCAATTGTCATCTCCATGATTGTCATTGTCAGTCATGATTGTCATCCATGATTGTCAATTGTCATCTCCATGATTTTCATTGTCATCCATGATTGTCATCCATGATTGTCATCCATGATTGTCATCCATGATTGTCATCCATGATTGTCATCCATTGTCATCGTCATCCATTGTCATCGTCATCCATTGTCATCGTCATCCATTGCAATCGTCATCCATTGTCATCGTCATCCATTGTCATCGTCATCCATTCTCATCGTCATCCATTGTCATTGTCATCCATTGTCATTGTCATCCATTGTCATTGTCATTGTCATCATTGTTATCATTATGATTAGGTGAACTTTTTATTATTTTCATTATTTAAACCAATCTAAAAAGAGCTTTTTAAATATGGTGTTATGATCATTTTATTTTATTATCTATCTATAAAGTATATAAATATATATTTATAAAATCTATTCAACCCATTCTTTCTATTTATCCTTATATTCTATTTAGGCTGCTCCCCAGGAAAGTAGAGGAGTTCCTGCCAAGAAGCCTCAACCCGACTACTTTTTATAAACAACAACCACAACAACAACAAATACAACTTTTCATATTAAACTCTCAACTTTTTATTTCTAATTCAAGGAAGTGTCTTATACGACTCAAGTAATAATAACTTTTGTAGTAGAACCTGGGGTATATATTTTGAGGGGGGGGGGGTAATTTCATTTTAAAAATACTTTGTCTTTTCTTTTCTAAACGATTNGGTCTAGAAAGTATATATCCATGAGTAAAACTCGCCAACGTTGAATTTGTTGATTGAAATCTTCAAGATGCGGTAGATGTCTGGGTCTACGCAATCTCTATTTTTTTTGTATTTGTAACTACTCAACATAATATTCGCATTTCATAGTTTTGGAATTATTCCATTCATAATCAACATAAGATATTGTACTAGAACCTTGTATGTACACAAATCGTTAAGAAAATAAATAAAACCGACAAGATACGTTTAAAAACTGTGTACACTATGCATAGTGTATTTAGTCTTAATTTTCCTCTTTTTTTACTTGAATTTTAATGATGTTAAAAACACTGGTTAAATAACCCAAACAAAGTAAAATAAAACTTGTCCTTTCTCTGGTTGTATTTCATGTAAAGGAAAGGTTAAATTTTAGTATTTTAGTTGTTTCCTTTAATGTTTTTTAAAGAGTTTTAAAAGATAATTTTTTACTGAGCAAATGCTGAATTAAATGCTACAAATAGGACATTTTTTAGATAAATGTTTGAACTTCTGTATTTTTTAGTAAAGGGTTTCCACAGATTAGATTTTAACGACAACCCAGTGAACCTCACTAACTATGCTATTCCAACGAGATGAAGGTTAAAAAGGGTTTCAGGAAAAATAGTTGATATTTTAGGATTCACAAATTGGTTCGCCAAAGAAAGAATTTGTCTTTACCATAAATTAAAGATAAAGGCCTTAATTAATTCCGTTGAGTTGTCTTTAATATTTCATTCTTTGTGGGAAACCCTGTCTGTAAAAACTATTGACTACTTTATGTTTTTTTTTTACAATTAAAGTTCATGTTAACACTTTGTTCAGCAGATTTTTATTTTAATCTCGCGGATTATTTTCAGAGTGAAGATTGGTGAAGAATGCCCTCTTCAGGGAAAAGAATTGCATCCTTAACTTCCGGTGGTTCCGGGATATCTCGTGGATCAAGTAAAAGAAGTCTTACTTCCGAGGTTTGGTGTTTAAAGTTAAAACTGCCCACTATTAAAAGCAACAATACAAAGTTGTTAAGGTCCACTTACTTCTATCAAGACCTTACTGTAATACAATGAGAAAAATAGACTGTGGAAAAGAAATACGACATTAAGGCAATATTTAAAGAAGACTAGATGTTGTTACAAAGAAAATAATGTTACTAGTAGCTTAATACCCCATTATAAAGTAAAATGGTTTGAGAATGCTGCACAATCGCTCTGAAATGATCACTTGAGTCTAAGATTGTCTTTCTATTCCCCTGTTTTTGGATCTCACTTTTTTTTTTATAAATTTTCATTGTTATTTTTTTTATGTTCCGACTCAATTATTCCAAATTTATACTTGTCTCTGGAGGATAATGGGTCTGACTTGCTTGTCCCTTGAGTCTTTGAGAAGGACATTGTTTTCCTGTTTTAGATATTAATGTTGACAGATGGAGTATAAAACTGCTGATGTACCTACAGGGTGTTCCACGAAACAATCTTTGCATTTATTTGATACATTCAGTCGTTGACTTTTTTAATTCACATTATGATTCTTGAAACAATAACCACAAAATTCTCCTAGTTCTGGGATTTCCAAAATGTGTTCTGTCTTTTAAGAATTTTGTCGGAATCTGAACAAAATTAATCATATGTCCTTTAATATTGTGAGCACAAAAAAAGGCAGACCACATTTTGGAAATGCCAAGACTAAAGGTATTTTGTGACCATTATTTCTAGAATATTATTATGTCAAGTTTGGTTTACGAAAAATGCTAAAAATTATTATAAAGATCAAAGACGAACTTGAAGTCGTCTTGCTACTGTCATGTTTCGCGGGACACCCTGTAGTTGGGGTGCTATGGAAACGCATCAACACGGAATTGGCTCAGCTCAATAGAAGGGGGACTCATAAAACTAATTCAATGTCGTCTTCTTCGTTAAGATTAAAAATACATATTCTGATGATTTTCACAGCCATGACCGCAGCGCTCGGCCCCCTCTGAAGCCTGTGGCACAATATAACCTAAATTAATGCTAAGAATAATTTTTTAAATACGGTTTTTAAGTCCATTTTTTTAGAAATTTCCGTGTTGAAGCGTTTCCATAACACTAATGAATTTAGTTTGGAGAGTTTTAATTTTTCCTGTAATGTCTCGTAAAAAATCATGACACTTCTTGAAGAAAAAAACTTGATACATTAATAGTTAAAAAGTTAATTAAACATTTTTTCAACCTCTCATTTTCATCGCAAACATATTGTTTTCTCATAAACATAGAAATAAATAAAAAACTTAATTTTTACAGGAAAACAAGAAATCAAATGCAGCAGTCAAGAGATGTCGAGAAAAGAAGAAAAAATCTGAGGAGTATTGGAAGGTCAGGATTTTGAATTATCAAGATTATATTTGTTGGTAATGCAAAAATAGCAAACTGGCGGTTAAAGGGACTGTAAGCGTAATTTTAAAGTGACCCTACATGCATAAATGACAATGTCTAATCAAGTGTAATGCTATCTGTATGTAGGGTAAGATTGGCAAAATAAAGTTGGCACACGAGAGGGCTGATTTCACCAATCGTTGCTTAGAATTCCAGATTTTATATGCTCCCCCCTTGTGGTGTATTCTGAATAACTTAAAAACGACTTACGCTAAAACTTCTTCACTTTTTTAACATCATAGTTGTGAACAAATTTAGCAAAAAAAAAATTTTTGATGCATTTTGTTGGGTGGAAAATGGTCAAACGGCGGGTCGTTGTTTAAAACATATAAAAATGGTTAATAACTTTATTATTAATTAAGTTACAGTGCTAAGACCTGTTAGCAATTTAACTTTTTTTAATAACAAAGTATTAATTCAGAATTTGTAAAAAGAGTTTATGATGATGAAGGTTATAATGCTTTGAATAATTGCTGGTTGAATAAAAACTGGAATTTTAGTTTTGAAAATGAAGATCCAAATCAGTGTTATCCCGTAAGAAAAAAAAACATTCTTTTACAAAAAGTTTAAATTTAGCGGAGCAGATAGCATAAAAAGAAATATGTAGAATATAGGAATCTTTACAATAAACTTGTCAGAACAAACAAAAAGAAAATAATAGAAGAACAATATCTGCATCTAAAAATAATCTCAAAAAGATTTGGGATTAAAAGAAAGATATGGCAAATATTTCCAGTAAAAATACTGATTCTATTCCTGAAATAGAAGTAAATGGTAAAATACTATAAAAGTAACCAAGAAATGGCGGACTCTTTAATTATGTTCCTCCAGCTAGTAATGGATAATTTAAAGATTATCTACCACCTCCTTCCTAAAGAAGTTTATTTTTCATTCCAATAACAGAACTCGAATTAGTTAAAATTGTTACTATTTTTCAAAACAAGTCCTCTTGTGATATTAATGTTATTTCAATTAAATTTATCAAAAGAATTATAAAATCCATTTCTCTTCCGTTAACATATATTCTAAACCTTTATGTAGAACAAGCTATATTTCCAAGTTCAATGAAAACCTCTAGGACTATTTCAGTATTTAAGAAAGAAGGATTTTCTTGAAATCCTTAATATTACAGACCTATTTCACTTTTAAATTGTTTATCAAAAAATCTTTATAAAATTAATATACGTGAGAAATAAAAACTCTCTAGATACAAATATAAGCAATAATGAAAACATCTAATTTTATTAGTAAAGCAATTAATAATGAAGAACTTTTTGGTTTGTTTTTAGATATATCTGAAGCTTTTGATTCAATTGACAGCAGAGAGTATTTGTAAACAATACAAAATCGAATCATGCAAAGTGCTTTCTGTCGGAGTTCTTCAGGGCTCTATTCTTGCAGCTTTGTTTTTTATGATTTATGTCAGCTATTTTTATAAATGTACTGATGCCATATCAATTGTATATCCAGATGATACTTCATGTTTTAAAAAACCTAAAGTCAATTGTTAAATTGGTATTCTCTATATAAATTATGCTTGAATGTAGATAAAACAAAGGTTTTGGTTTTTCTCTGAATGAAATAAAAAAATGAAATGAAATATGAATGAAATAAAATTAATAATTTTCCAACTCTTTGTTTAATTGGAATTGAACTAAAGAAAGTATCTAAATTAAGTCTTGTTTCAAACATTCAAATGTTAGGTGTCCTTTTTGATCAAAGTATAATTTATTATAAATAGAGTTAAAATCTTAATTCCTAAGAAGTATTTTGTATTTTGCTCTTGTTCACTCTCATATGAATTTAGCATCTTTATTCTTGTTTATTTAAAATTCTTTGATTGTAAACAAAATAGAAAAAATGCAAAAAAAATAGTCAGAAAATTTCTGATTTAGACTTTTTAGAACACACTACTGAAGCTTTCATTTATCCTAACATATTACAATTTACCAAGATGATAGCATTTATTGTATTAAAATTCATGAGACAGTTTGAAGAAAGATAAATTCTTTGCCTGTGACGACCTTGGGAAGTTTGAATATCTTAGACGCCCATTATTAGATGAATATAAACAGAAACATGAGTGTAATGGGTCTTAATGTTTCTCTTGTAATCTAACAACACGATTATTAACTACTCTACAGAATATTAACCTAATCAGTGTCATTAAAAAGTGTGCTCTTGCCTTTAAACCGTTCCGTTTCGAAAATTTTAAAAAGTAATCATGGTTGTTTTAATCTGTTTTAAATTTTAATGATTTTAACCAAATATTTGACTGGCTCCTCTGGAAATTTTTCTTCTTCCTCAAACTTCTTCTAATGAAAATGCTGGTGTTTCCTCAGTGGCATCTAATACCTTGGAAGATGCTTCAGCTTCTAATGAAAATGCTGGTGTTTCCTCAGCGGTATCTAATACCTTAGAAGATG